TTACTATTTTGATGTTGACTGTCGTTTAAATCGTAGTCTTGATCTTCCTTCTTTAGAAGCTGGAATATGGTTCATGACTCTTAAGTTCCAATTTCTTTATTTCTTCTTCCCAATTTTTTCTTCTGATTCTCTTTTCTAATCGATCTCCGTTTATACAGTTGGCTATAGGTGACCTTGTCTTTCACAAGATGGTTCCTTTGTAAAAAATGCATCACAGCTCTCTCTCTCTCCCTCCCACGTTAAAACAGCTGCAGACTATTTTTCTATGAGAAAATGATTGATAAGCCAGGCCAATAGAAAAGTGCCGCCGCACCTTTTCCACAACAATGACCCTCACCCGCTACAAACCCGCCATAAATATAATTTCTGGTCCACAGGCCACTCGCTCTGTTTACCTGACGTCACTGTGGCCTGGGCGGCTTCTGACGTGTATATGTCTCTCTGTGTCTGTGAGAGTGTGTGTGTGTGTGTGTGTCTCTGTGTCTGTGAGTTTGTGTCTCTCTCTAGGTCTCTGTGTCTGGCCCTGAGAGGCAGAAGGTGGTGAGCTCCTGTAGCCTCACTGGTATGTTCCCCCTGCCCCCCAAAAACAAAATGACCACTCAGTTTTTATTAAGGAAGCAATTAATATTTTTTTGCAACAATCTAATATGTGTTATTTCCTTATCTTTAGTTTTTATCAATAAAGTAAAAAAAGTAGCAATAAAATGTTCTTCAACAGCACCAATCAACCCCTGCAATTCCCCCCACAAAACACTCCATAATTTCCCACAAGCCCGGCAAAGCTCTCTGCGTTTTTTTTGCAAATATGTCCGCACTTTTCCATTGGCCCAGCTGATAAGGAATGAATATAGTTTGTTATTTATAAACAGTCTTGTTTCTCATCCTTGAGAAAGGATCTCCTGCGAAGCTAGTCACAACCAGCTCCCATCATAACTTATGAGATTGATTATAAATCCCAAAAATTCAAACATCGCAAATATAATTTGAGATATTATTTAACACATTAATTACAGAATCCTACACTCCACGTGATTCTGGATGGATGGGGAGGTGGGGGTTGCCTGATAAATACTGTGTATCTTTACCAGGGTTTGTGCTATGCACTTGAGAAACTTAAAAAAATTCAGCGAAAAATATATTTATATATACTTCATCAATACGTGGGCTCTGCTATAAGGCCTCAATTCCAAATCTGAATGAGTGGGGTGGGTGCCTCTGATCCTGAACTGGTTGTTAGGAGATGTACTTGGCAAAAGCCAGATACGCCCACAGTATCTGAGGCTCTGTTGATGGTTGACAAGCTTCTCTGACTCACAGTGACACTAGGAGGTGCAGCTGTGCCCTCACGCTGGATGAGCCAAAGGGCTGATTGGTTGAGGGTCAACCCTCAACAGGTATTTTGTTGCATGGTTCAATATTTTGCATCAATAAATAACAAGTTTTGTGTCTGGGTTGGTTTCAGCCTGTGATTTGGGAATGCTGGAGGGAATTTTACTCTAATCTGTGTCTTACCTGTACAGTAGCTATCCTGATTGATGCTTACACCTCATATTAATATTATTTAATTTCTCAAGTTATGACATCCCTTTCTTGGAATGAGTGCTTAAAATGCATTAAAAATATAAATTATCATTGTGTAATTGAGGTTCTTTTTTCAGGAAGACCATTACATACCTTGACATTGCAGATACAGTATTCACAACATTCCTATTCCCTGGGCATTTCTTGTCAGTCTTGCGTTACCCGACCACTGTTCACTAACATGACTATCTGCTCTGTTGTGTGTCTGCCAGTGCACCGGTCAGCAGATTGGATTGACAAGCCTGGGAACTGTGCTCCCTCCTGATTTTAGACTGCTCTGTAAACACATCTCTTACTGCGCTCTGTAATGTGTCTTTTCTCTGTTGTTTGGTGCAGTGGCTTTCTATATCTACTTCCTCATCATTTTCACCTCCCAAATGAAATGATTTTCTCTTTCCCCTAGTTTATCACACAAATCGTGTTTGAGTCGGGCGGGAAGCCAAAATAGCAGTTGGCACAGTGTTCGGTGTACAGCTGTGCGGCTTAATTTCATCTCCCGAGTTCCAGGTTTCTCCCCTTCACATTTGCAAGACATTATTACACAGATCAACAACAACAATTTGCACATATGTAGCACCTTTCATGTAGGGAGTAAAGTGGCTTGAAGTAGCTGGGTGGGAGGCATAAGGCAGGCCAGAATTGACAAAGCGTGGCAGAGGAAGTGACCAAGAGAAAATAATACTGATATAATTATTAATAATAATACTCTCATTAAATTAATAATACAGTAATAGCAATGACAGTTACTAGTGAACAAATATTTAAAAAGTCAGAAACAAGTTTTGTAATTTTCTGTCTGGGTGCCAGTGATGTTTGACACTAATATGATAGCATTTCAACAAGCTTCCCTGACAGCTCCTCAAAATGGCACTGAACATTTTCTTTCATTTTCCATTCTTGCATTGCCATTCTTTTCCTGTTTACCTGGGTCAGAAATGATTATTCACAAAATTAATTTTCAGTCTCAGATCCCATCTGTTCTTACAGAGGTTACTGAGAATAATGTAGGGTTATGATGGGATAATAGTGTAATCGATTATTTCTACTGGTTGATGACCATAACTCACAGCCAATGCTGCTGAAACCTCTTGCATGTTTTTGTCACCTCCCGAAGAGTACTATCTTGTCTTCTCTAATGTATTCCTTGGCGATCTCCCCAGCTCATCATTCATGAAGTCCAACTAATTTAGAACTCTGCTACCATTATCCTCGCACGTACTAAACTCCACATCCCCAGCATCCCGGTCTTTTGCTAGGTTCTATTGGCTCCCTGTTGCATAATGGATTGATTTCAAGGTCCCAACGCTCACCGACAAATCACTTATATGAAATGAATGAGGAAAATCTACATTTTTTTCCTCCAAGTTACAAGAGATTCCATGCTCAGTGGGTTAGATGCTGGTTCCTATGTAACAGAGCGCTCGGAGCCAATTTCCAGCTCTGTTACTGATCAACCCTTAATGTCAAATCTTTGAATTCACAGCTTCTAGCTTCACTCATTGGGTACCCGAGCCTGCAACAGGGTTACCATGGTAACTGATTCTAAGTGCAATTTCTCTCCCATGTACAGCTGCACCATTTGTGGCCTTTTTAAGGATATCAGTCACAGTTCAGTGGTGGCCAGTCAAAGGAGGTGAAAGTTCATGAACGTTGAAGCTAAAGATCTGTGTCTAGTAATTTCCCTGGAAGTGGCCTGAATTAGGATCTTGTAATGACTGAAGAGATGTGCAAGGCTCTCCTGGAGTCCAGCCTTCATCTCATTTACATTTTTAAAATTATTTTGTCAGATTTCCTTCCCTATTAATGCTAAATGACCAATGGACTAAACCTGGGACCTTCCTGGTCAACATGGTTTACAGCACATGCCTCACACATGCCCCGAGCCATTGAAGGAACCTCGTAAAACTTTTATCAGCTTTGACTCTAACTCTGCCCATATAGTGTATCATTTGACCATTCAGCAGAAGGAGTGCCAAGCCTCATTTTTCTGTTTGTCTCTTGCTATTCTGGTTCTTGCAGCTCGGGGCTATCTGCTGATGTTCAGGCAGCTGGGATACCATTGAGGCCGGAATGATGGCATTTCTCAGAGAATTTAAATGTTTCTTAACTAGTAGTTTCCAAAATCTATTCTGCAGTGTTGTCAAATATTTTAGAATACTTGCATAGAAAGTTAACAGCAACCTATTTCTGGTGCTAGCTTCCCCACTGGAGACACCTGCTCTAATCCCATTCTCTATCCCTTTATGTTATTTTTCTTCAAGCGTTATCTAATTTCCTTTTAAATAGCTGTATAAAACTTTAATATAATAATACTTGTATTTGATATAGTGACTTATCACATTGTCGATCTGTCTCAAAGCGCTTCACGGGATTTTACTGTGAAGCATAGTGGCTGCGTATCTGTAGGCAAACACGGCAGCCAATCTGCACCCAGCAATATCTAACGAACAGCCATGAAGGAAATGACCAATTCTACTTGGGGGGATTGTTGGCTTGGACACCAGGAGAAACTCTCTTCTCTTTTTGAATAGGTCCATGGGATCTTTAGCATCTACGTGAAGAGGCAGATGGGACCTCGGTTTAACATCTCATCTGAAGGGCGGTACCTCAACAATGCAATGCACCCCCAGCAGTGCATTGGAGCATCAACTTTAACTGTGAGTTCAAAGTCCCAATGTAGGGCTGGACCCTACAACCTTTTGATTCGGAGACGAGAGTACAATGAAATTGACGCAGCTTCCTCATTACGATCTTCCTTCACTTTTCTTCTAAATGATATTCCTCAATTTATACCTTATTTTTACTGACTCAATGATCAGTGGAAATAGTCTCTCTCTCTTTACCCTATGAAAAAACATTAGGGTTTTGAATATCTCCATTAGATGCCTTAAACCCCTGCTCCAGCAAAACTAAGTCACTCCACACAACTATAACTTCTTAAACATCGTAAATCACTTTAGTATATCTTTCATTTTGACACACATGAGCCATGAGATGAATGACTAATTAATCTGAAGGATTTTTGACCAAGAAACTGGAAGAAACTCCTCTAGTAGTGTTAAGAGATCTTTAATGTCCAGCTGAACAGGATCTAAAACATCTTAAAACATCTCAAATGAAGGACGGCACCTCTGACAATTCATCTCTCTTCACTGAAATGGTAGCTTGGACAATGACCTCAAGTTCTGATTTAGGACTCGAACCCAAATCTTTTGACCTAAAAGCTGACTATTCTTTTATATATACACACAAGCACATACTATCTATACATCGTGACAATGTCAGGTATGGAGTAAGAATGAAAACAATGCTCTCTGTGGTGTTCTCTCTGTGATGGATTAGTAGCAGGCCAAGGTTTAGGAATAACATGTTGTGATATTGCAGAGCCCTAGGTGAGGGGAGTAATGTTCAGTAAATATCCCAATAAGTGTGTAGGTTGCTATGAAAAGATGACCTGCAAATGTGTGGAAGTGACATATTCGACAGTGGCCACATTTCTCAAGGCTCCAAGTGCTTCCCATTTTAAGACTTCATTTGCTGGCATGGACTTCACAGGGACACTGGAATGACAGCCTCACACGTATTTTTATGATCATGCAGAATTGCAGAACATTCATTTTCTAATCCGGGCTCAATTTGGAGTGTTGATGTCTTTAAAGTGTTCACATTTTTTTTTCTGATTTTGTCCAATAGGGTGAGGAAGCTACTGATGCAATGAATCAGATACATGGATAGAATCGCAACTGGTGATATTTCATACCAAGGGCTACAGCAGCACTGACAGGTATGGTGCAGTTTGTACAGATTACCTGGAAGCAATGTACAGAGAATACTCAGGAGTAACATAAAGCAAATACTCAGGAGTAATGTACAGAAATAACACAAATTGAACAGAAAAACATAAGAACAATAAATATTATGCAGTGCAGCACAATAGAAAAGATACAATAATGTGTAAACCACGTGTCTGTAGGGTCACACATTTGTTCGCTACTGTCGGTGATGTGTTACAAGGTCAGGGTTTGCATATTAAATTATTCTTGGCTGCCAATTTCTCCCGGTGTCCTGGTCAATAATCCTTCAGATAAATTGGTCCATTCATCTCATGGTTCATTGTGGTAACTTTGCATTTGCAAGTTGGGTGCTACCTTTGCCTTCAGAGGCCTACAAAAACAGTTACTTGAGATGTCGCAATGTGAGATGTAAAAAATAGAAGTTCATTCATTATAGAGGGAGGTGTCTTGACGATCTGATTGCCAAAGAGTTCAATTGAGCATTTGCTTTTCTAAGTTCACGTAACATATGCTAACTCCGATTGACATATTTGGGGATTCCCACTGCCCCTTCCCTCCTCTTCCTGTCTAAAGTTCCTGGCTGGGAGTCCAGCATGGCTCCTGTCAAACATTTCAAAATCTGAGGTTTACAAAATGTAAATATTTAACTTCCTGACATGAGCTTCCAATTTAATAGTGAATTCATTTGCCAAAGAGTCTAGCATTTCAGGGGACCTGTACTTTCTGACCGCTGTTTGTCACAGTTACATGTTAGCCTACATTGGGTCTAATATGTGCTGATTGCTAACATTGACTAGCATTTTATTGCATGTTTAGATGGAATAGAATGCTAGACCCCTATTAACTAACTCTGTATATCACATCAATCACACTGATCAAAGCAGCTGTTTTCTTTACAGCACTCTGCTGAATGCAGCCATTCTTCATGCACTATCCCAGGCACAAAGTTTCAGCAGAATAGTTGCGTGTGGATTGGAGCATCACAACTGAGCCCAAATACTGCATTAAGCCCATGTCCACTAGCAAAGAGTGATCAGGAGCCTGGTTGACATTCCCTCCTCCCAAACAGGGCCACTAAGGCCAATTGTAGCTTCTACTGCTTCTCTTGTTTAATTCAGCATAGTTTTTGATTGAGAACCAGCACCTTTCTAGTCTGCATGTTCTCATGCTGTACCGAGCTGTGCCTTTCCCCATGGAGCTATCTCTTAAGTGCACTGCTTTTCACTTGGGAAACATTCTGCACACATTAGTCTATCTTGCCAACCATTTAAACACTTAGAAGATCCAAGAAGAAGTTGAACATTTCAGAGACAGTTCCACTGCAATAGCCCTCAATACGTCTGTGCTCAGTTACAAATGTCTAATAATCTACCAATGGGGAGAACTTCCACTTGGGTCGAGGTTTACTCTGTTTAGGTAGCATTTCAGAGTGCCCAGAATTTGGCAAAGGCTTAATTCTGAGGCCTTTTTTTGTAAATTCTTTTAAGAACAACAGAACAAACTATCTCAAAATTCTTCAAAATTATCATGAGGATTGCTAAGCAGGGAGGAAAGGAATTGGGATATGATTTTTAAGAGGGTTTTGAAGGCAGGGAGAGAAAGACAAAATGCAAATGGGTTTTGGGAGAGTTCCAGCGAGTGGGGGCACATGATGGTGGGACGTGAGGAGTGATAAGCGACCAGTAGATAGTGTCAGATGATAGGGATGTACAAGTAGGACAATAGGCTGGAGGCAGTTGAAAAGCAGCCAATTGTTACTGGGCAAGAACTGCAAAAATATGGTGAGCTTTGGGACCCAGTCGTAGTGCTCCAGTTACCTCCAAAATCAAATGGAACAAACTGAAATGATTATAGTGTGTCAGCACTTGCTGTTACTGGTGTCCATGGTTGATGTTGCTCCAAGAATAAGCCTAAAGCAGCTGTAGCCTATGGTAGAAGGAGACCGAGTTGGGTCCTGTATTTGATGGTGGGCGGTAGGGGGAGAAATTACATTCATACTAATGTATATGTTAGGCTTATCTGTTGGCTCAGCAGGTCTACCTTAGCCTGGTTGGGTGAGGGTGGGATTGGGATTGATGCCCCACAGTTGATATTTCCACAGTTGTTGAACACCTGCTAACGCACACAAGGCTTATACATGAATAATGGCTCCCAGATCGAGGTGCTAACAAGTTGTTGTTATCTCAGAGTCAATACAGCATTAGTTAAATACAGAATAAAGTTCCTTGTATACTGCCCCATCCAGCACTAAAATGTTAGGTACAACACTGTTTAGATACAGAATAATGTAAACTTTACAGTACCTTAAATCAGTGGTAGCCAACCTGTGGTCCGCAGGCCGGAATAGCCCCCAAGGCCGTCAACAAGTGGCACCCCCGAACATTCGCATGAGTCTAGGTAAGTCCGTGTTTGATCGTAGTGGGTTTTCATTTCTTTCTTGATTGAATATTTATAATTATGGTATAAATTAATAGTCTCCACATACCTGCCATGCCTGTGGCTCCTCACAGTATGACTGCAGATCATGACCAGGTTTGTTTTGTGAACCAAATGCAGTAAGAAGCAGACTGAGACTGCTTCCCAACTTATTTTCAGTATATATTTTAGTAAAATAAACACACAGGTCTTGGGAATTTCATGATCTATCTGTACAATGAGAGCACCAACAAAAATTACATTTGTATAGCGCCTTTCACATCGGGAGGATGTCCCAAGATGCTGGATAGACAGAGTTACGGACCCGAGCTGGTCGGGGAGGGTGGAGGGCAGGGCGGGAAGCAGAGAGATCGAATGCACAGTTGTGCATTGCGCGAGTCCCAATATATTTAGCTTGTGTCCCTCTACCATCTACTGTCGTAGTTTAAATATAATTGGGAACTTTGCTGCATTGGAACTGCAGACCCCACAGGGCCACATCAAAAAGAAAACACAGAATGCCATTAAACGTCTCAGGCAAGCCAGATATATAAAACTGTTAACGTGGTGGGATCTGTAACAATGTCTGGAAAGCTTTAATCTAATTATTGTGTGTGTGTGTGTGTGTGGGAGGGGGGGGGGGGGGGGGGGGAGGTGTGGGTGGCAGGGGCAGTGTTGAATGAATTGGTGTTGATTGAATTGAATGCACTGCCCCAGCAGTGGATCACTATGAGCACAGCGGGAGGTATATGTTCTGCTCCCCTGCAGCCTGTCTGCAGCATTCCACTGAGCTGGAGCTCAGGCCTCAAAGCCTGCTCTGTACAAACAGGGAGACTTCCTCTGCAGGGACTCGGTGTGATTTAGTGCTGCGGAGTCTCCCTGTAAAAAAAACACACCCAATTATTTATTGCTGGTAGGATTAACCCTCTGTCTGCTGGATTCCTTTCCTTAACCCTTTCAGTCTCACAGCTTTTGATCGTGCTCAAATGCTGCATCAAATCTTGCATTTTCCTCTCCTCTTCCTTAAGGCGTTGGTTCAGACAGAGTACAGGCTCCACAGACCCGCACCCAGTGGCCATGAGTGAAAGAATAGTGAATTTCTGTAAAATAATCGGGGGTGGGGGGCCAGAAATGTACTCTGCGTAAAACCTGCGGAGGTGGGATGTATATGTACCCCGCCCGCCCCGACTAGGTACATATTCAGACACGGGGGGAGTTAACCCACTCAGGGTATAGTTGTGGAAGTTGGGAGGGGGGGAAAGAAACACATTCAAGGAAAAAAAACACTTGGCATATCCCAGGAGAGGAAAGAAAACTCATTCAAGGCACAGCCTGTGGGACCAAGCAAGGGGGTCAGAGCCTGGGAGGTGGGAGAGACAAATTGAGGGCATAGCCCAAGAAGCATTTTCTGGACACTGCGTGGGGGGAGAAGTGTAAAAATACTTAGCACTTCTCTTTATCCCTTTAGGGGTTAATCCACATGGGAAACATTTAAAGGAAACTGGAATGTAACATTAATGAATAAAACAAATTAGATGAAATCAGCACGAGTTTAAGGGATAGACCTGTCTAGATTATTTGAGTTCTTCAAAAACAACTTGCATTTATATAGCGCCCTTCACGTGGGGTATCATCTCGGAGCACTTAAAAGTAACAAGATGTAAAGATAACAATTCTTGCAGAAAGGAGTTATAGTAAACAAAAAGATTATTATAGATGCTGAGAGCAATTGTAGCACAGACTGAGCCGAGCATAGACCAGGTATTGAACCTGGGACCCTCTTGTGACTGTGCCACAATGGGCAGTTGCTTCACCAATTCCGGGTTACAGCAGAGCATGGTGTGTCTCTAGCTCTGGGCTGTTGGCAAGAGTCGCACTGACTCTGGAAGGTGAAGACACAGTTCATTGTTTGGTTAAAGGGAATGGAGTTGATTTCTTTAGGTTGTCTGAATTGCTGATGGAGGTCCACCTGGCTCCCTCCTGGATTACATGGCATAACTACAAAGTGCAGGCAACTGGAGCGACAACAAATGTGTCACGGGTTTGACCTTGATGCTTGCTGGGGTGTGTGAGGGTATAATGCCAGAACAGCTGCAGCTGGTGCCTGGCTCAGGCAGTCATTGTTAGTTCTGCACTATGCATCAAAGGGAGAGGTATTCCAGGTGCTGCCTTGTATCTGTGTTGGGATTCTGCGAACCATTTTCTGAAGCTTTACCTAACTGTTTGGATTAATGCATTATGGTGAGGCAGAGGCTTAGCCACCTTCCCCTCTGGCTTCAGCAACAGTTGGGTCTAATTTACAATATTCACAAAAAGCCTCCTTGGTTAATCTGAGCAGTCACATTTCCAAAAGCTAATTTCCTGAAACTAGGCCAGAGTGAAACACTGGGGAGATGACGCTTTGGTCTCCAAAACTTTATTGCACTATTGTTGCTTCTCACCCCATTTCAGAATATCACCAATTAGGCATCAATGAATTCCAGTCCTACCAGTGAACTCGTTCCTGAGCACTCTCAGGAATTTTTGCTACAGTTCACCACATCCATCAATTGAGCATAAATTGAGAGTTTATGCTCATCTCATTTTATTCTATCAGGTGGGTGATGACACTTTGTAGTTTACACCAACACAATGTGAATGCTGGTTTAAACTACAAAAGGCAGATTTATGACCTTTTGTAAGCACTAATCTTGTAGCATCTATACGGTCACTTAAGGCCCCATTGTTCTCCCGTTGCTGAGGGGTAACTGGAGAGAAGTCTACTGCTGCACCCATAGTAACAGTGCAACACAGGACATGTGTGGCTAGGAGCTCCTTACCTGTCAGGGCTTTGACTTTCATAGATGAGGATATGTTTTACACAGGCTGGTCAACTATCAACAGGGTCTTGGATTTTTGTGGACCTGCCTGACTGCTCGGTGTGTCTCAATGGAGCCAGGTTAACACCATTTACCTTAATTCCTTGGTAGGGTATTTTTGCACATGGTGTTTGCTTTAATCACGACAAACAGGTGATTCAAAGTGGAAGAAATTTCTGAGCGAGGTTTAGCGTTGCACTAAATTCCTCTGTCTTGCTCTGTGCCAGATGTGATGTATATTTCTATATATACCATTGTGTACACATAGCAGTGCACACATTTACTCACACTCACTATCTCACACACATACACAAACGCACTCAGGATTACATAAGAATCCTGTTAATAGTGTATTGTCTGGAATCGTCAGGATGAAGCTATGCTGGAAAGCTTTGGAGTGAGAAGTGAATTCTGATCCTGGAGTCAATGACTGTGAACAAGTGGCATGGACACTTTGTCTTGTAACTATACCCTTAGGGCAGGATTGCAAAAGTCGGGCAGGGATCAACCCAGCTTTGGGGTTTGCCAGGTCAAGATAACCTCTCTAAATGCTGTGGTGTATAGAAAGAATGGATATGAGATGATATCACCTTACAGAATCTCAGTCTTTCCAGGAAATAAGGGTTCTTTGTTACATACAACATAAAGGATTCGGGTAAAGGCTGAACTAAACATGGAATAAAGGAGCCGGGGAGAGAGTCACAGAATAAGGGACTTCGACAGTGGGTTACATGTAGAATAAGTGGACATTAAGCTGATATTTTTAGACCGTGTATGCAAACATTTGTCTCATGTGTGAAATCTCATATGTCCTGACCATTCCTGTTATATTTTACAGGCCCTGCTCTCTGAGTTGGAGGTATTATATTTCCCACATCTCACTGGAGCAACCTTTGAACCATTCTCACTTGGTAGGAAGGTGGAGTTGGAGGCAAGTGGAGTTGGAACGGCGATGCATTCCCTGGATGAGCCCCTGGATTTGAAGCTCAGCATTTCCAAGTTGCGCATGATGAGAGGGAAGAAGAGGAAGGACCATGTGACTACAGAGGAAAGTAGCATCCGCAGGGAACTGAAGATGACAGCCGATGGGACCGCCATCATCATGTCAGCATCACCGTCACAGTCCAGTAAGCGACTCTTGAACAAAAAAAAATCCTCCTCTTCTCACAGCAGCGACTCACATTGCGGTGCAGTTCCTCTGGTACAATTCTTTACATCCGAGGTTAGACAGTGAGTTTCTTCATGCTATTCAACCATAGAGCGGGCACCAGTCAAGCCCAATACTGTCTTCGTTGACATCCAAACATGATCATAAGTAGGACCCTAATCCTCCGACTGTAGCCCCAACCACAGACATCAGTTAACTCAGCACAACCTATGGAAACCTGAATGGAGTTACATCTTTTTCACAAAGAAGGGAAGAGCAATTATTTCACTCTCGTGAGGATGGACAGTTCACTAGATGCCAACTTTTAGAGTAGAGTAGGCATAAATTCAGTTTTAAAATCTGTACACGTGGCTCAGTTGCTAAAACCACCAAGCAGTGAAAAACTGAACCATATAGACCAATTTTGATCCTCAGTTGCACTGTTGAGCGCAAATGATGTCTTTTCCTGAGACAAGCAAGGACTGGGAATCAGCCTGGGTTCTTACTCTTAATTGCTATCTAATAACCTTGGAAAGTATATGTGGTTATTCAGAGTGAACAGGATCTAACTTGGTTTAGATCCTGTTCAGTCATGTAACCTTCTGACACTCACTAGTAATGACTACTGTCCACACAGAGCCATAGAGTGTGCGAGGAGGCAGAATGGGACGGGGCTGGTTCGCGGCAGGTACTAAGAAATAAATCCACTTCCAAGGCTCTGCTCAGCTTGTAGCATTCAAATAAGGGGCCTGAAAACAAGGCCCACCCAACAGCTCATTTAAAGAGGATTTGGAATGTGTTTGGTCTGGGAGCTACATATGTTTTAACTTGGATAGACTGACTATCTGTTGCATTTTCCCCTCTTCCTGTGGGGAAGTGCCTGGCCTCTTCTTGGCAACTGGCTACAGAGGAATGATTGAAACTAGCAGATCAGTGTCTGCAATTATAGAAATAGCAAGCCATTCAGCCCAGTGAGCCTAAATTGGAGCGAGTTCATCCATTGGAGCTAACTCTTGTTCCAGTCCTTTTTATAATCTTTCTCTGAAATGTTTAAACATTACTGTCTTGGCCTCAAAAGCCACTTGTAGCAAAACTTACCTTGTTACAATAACCCTTTGTATGAAAATATTTTTCCAACTGCCCCTTAACTCCTCCAACCACAATCCTGATCTTAATAACCCCTTGTTAACAATTTTACCAACCAGCAGGAATAATCTGTCGTGTTGTTTTCCTCAAACATCTCAGCATTTGGAAGACCTCCCATTAGATTCTCTGTTCTAAAAAAAAACCTAGTCTCTCACCTTTCATCCTTAACTGCAAATCCTCATTCCTAGTAGCATTTGTGTGAATCTATCATCTACCTTTTCAATGACTTTGATGTTCATTCTATAATGGACTGTGCACATCTGCCCGCAGTCTTCCAATTGAAGCCTAATCATAATATAACATAATTTTCTTACTTTTATGTCCAGTTAGCTGATGTCAAGTGTAGTGATGGTATTTATTGGTTACATTTTGTGCACAGTGAGGTTCAAAAACTGCCATGAAGTTAATTAGGTTGTTGGTGAAGACACCAGGAAAATAACTTTCTGTACATACCCCACCAGGTAACAGTCAGTTATCTCTGTACCTGTGTTTCTTGATCCAGGCTTGATTAGCAGTTTCCAGGCCCAGGAGAGAGCGGACTTCTCCAGTATACAGAGGAAAGCTTCTATTGTGGACCTCAGTCTCCCTTCACCATCGGAGCTTGACTCCTCTCCTGGATCGGTGGTGCTTCCAGAGGAGCTACAGAATGGCGATGTTATGACATCAGGATTCAGCCACGTAAGTATCCAATCAGCAGTTTAATGCATAACCTTAGCCTCCTAGAACGTTGCACTCTGGCATTTATTTTGTACGTAGGGTTCAAGATTCCCCTTCCATTCCTCTCTTGGCCTGGTACTAAAGCCAGAATCGAAAGGTATTCACATGGTCTGCTCTGAGCAGCAGCAGAAATGCCTGCCCCTGATACCACCAAGGTGTGCATATTAAATAGAAGAGCAAAGATTAGAGCCCTGTGATATACAACAAATGACTGGGAAGAGAAGAGTTAGTCAGGTAGTTGGGAACAAAGCAAACATGGTATCATGCAGACGAGTTAGAATAGAAAGACAGTCAAGGAGAATAAGAGGGTCAACAGTATCAAGTATTAATACAGATTAGACACTAAACCTCCTTTAATCCCAGTAATAATTGTTTCCTTTACAGGATCTGCAGTCTATCCGGGTCCTAGGAGGAAGCCAAAACTCTCAATCATTCCAGTTTTTCTTTCCGCTGAGCTCTGGGAGTTCAGTTCAGCTCCCTTCTTCTTTGTTAATGACTCCTCGCAAGGAACTGAAGAACATGACTGAGCTCACGATGGAGCAACTGGCATGCAGGTGGCAAAAGGTAAGCAATTGGCACCTCTCACTTGATAGCACCCTTGCCTCTAGCTGAGAATATCATGGGTCAGAATATCGTAGATTTGAGACAGAGAGACTTTGTGCTCACAATCTAGGCTAATTACTGGGAGGTAAGATTCAAGATCCACTGAACTAATGAAAAATAGTTTTTCATGGTGCCAATCCAGGTATCAATATAATACAACAACAAAATTAGATTTGTAAAGCGTCTTTCACGTCGGGAGGCCGTTCAAAGGCGCTGGACAGAGATATGGACCCGAGCTGGGGATCGGGTGGGGAAGGATGGAGGGCATGGGGGGAAACAGGGAGATCGAAAGCACAGTCGAAGTGGAGGATCTTGAGGTGGGTCTTGAAGGTGGCAAGGGAGGGGCGAGATAGAGGGACTGCGGGATGGAGTTCCAGAGAGTGGGGGTGGAGTGACGGAAGGCTCGCCGCCAATAGTGGGGTGAGCAAGGCAGGGGACGTGAAGCAGGCCGGAGCCTGCTGAGTGGAGGGAGTGAACAGGATGGTAGGGGGTTAGGAGGTCAGAGAGGTAGAGGGGAGCAAGACCATGGAGGGCTTTGAAGGTGAGGTCCAGGGTATTGAACTGTATCCTCTGTGTGATGGGAAGCCAGTGGAGTTGATTTAAGCCAAGTGTGCTCAGCGGAACGCGCCTGGGCTTTAAGGGAGCGGAGGTGGCTGGTGTACCAATGTGAGGGGAACGAGGGAATCGAAAGTGGAGCAGAGGGTGCTGTGGAGAAGAGTGATCGAGGAGGATAAGTCATTGCGGGAGGAAGCCCAGAGGGGAAGGAGTTCAGATGACTTCTAGGCAGCCGAGAGGGAGGGGTGGGAGATGGAGGTAGATTGGGTGGCGGTGGGGAGAGGGATTGAGGAGTTGAGGGAGATGAAGTAATGGTCCGAGATCGTTTTGTCGATGATGGTGAGGTCCAAGACGGTGGTTATTCACCTCATGACTGGCACTAAACAGCTGCCACCTTTGCTTACAAAACAGAAGCAACAATTAGTGTGAAGTGCTCTGGAACATTTCAATGTGATAAACTTTCTATAAACATGCAAGTTTGCTTATCTTGGGAACTTGAGGTTCTCCTCTATGGGCACAGGTACTAAAATAAGAGATTGACAGAGCTTGGTACAACATTCCTAGACTTTGCACTCATTCTGAACTCTGGCAACCTATTATTGTGTGCATATAGGAGGAGGGATGGTTTTGGAAGAGTCCTAACTTAGGGTGCCATTGCCGCTTAAGTCCTCTCCTGAAGCCTAACTCCAAACAGTGTTCAGGCCTTTGCCCATGTGTGGGCCCAGCTGTTGGGTCACCTATTGATAGCTAAAAATAACGATGGCTGTGTTATTGTATTTTTCTCAGTCCTTTCTCTGTACTGCAACAATATAGATGCAACAACCTTGATATGGTTTGATGTTATTCAGTTGTCTTTCTCCTTCCCCTAACCTCTGCAAACACATAGCTGTGTCCTCTTACCTCTCTGTGCCCTTTTGCCTTGCAGTGTAACCAGCTGTTTGAATCACTTCAGGATCTGGTTGATCATGTGAATGATTTTCATGTCAAGCCCGAGAAGGACACTGGTTACTGCTGTCATTGGGAAGGCTGTGCCCGGCGAGGGAAAGGATTCAACGCCAGGTGTGTAGCAGCTGTTGGAATCAACAGTAAAGGATGTCAGATTTCAACAGAATAAAATGATGGGATACATATATCAGACAAGTTACTGCACTCATTCTATCCAACTTGGTGCTTATTTTATCAACCTCAAAAGGATGAAGCACAGAGTGGATCAAACCCAGCACATTTGGGATGTTTTAATTCGTTGAACGATTGATAAGTGTTCACAGAATATAAAGCAAAATATCTTTCTTTTGATTCTCAATGAGACAATGTTATTAGGGAAATGATCATTGGGCTAGTGCGAGAGGGAGAGAAGCATGATGATAAAAGGAACTTCCATCTGTAGCTTGTGTTTGGAAGCTGGGCTGTTGGTTTCACTTGGAGCAAGGTACAAATTGACAGGAAAAATATATTTCTCATGTTCTGTGTGTTTGTTGGTTACTTAGTAAAGGTCCTTCCATGTATCACACAATGCTGGTATTGCATGCGGTCCTGGCTCTGGGAACTCAGGTAGTGGTGGGTTGTGTTATGGGTCTGCCTAACTCTCCGATCTCCCTCAGGTACAAAATGCTGATCCACATCCGTACACACACCAACGAGAAGCCTCATCACTGTCCCACTTGCAGCAAGAGCTTCTCCCGGCTTGAGAACTTGAAAATTCACAATCGCTCCCACACAGGTAAGGAGCTACAAGTGCTAACTGCAGAAGTTGCATATATGGGGGATCCCACAAAGGTGACTGTGAGCATGTGCTAGGTTACTAAGGGGTGAGAGTCGTGTCTTGAGCAAGTGCGCAAATTCATACATATACCTAACCAGATTTGTTTTGCCAGTATCACAGCCCCATGCCTAACTTGGGATAAATGGATAATTGGCGTGCAGATAACCAGCATGCTACTACTGCCACTGACTATCTAGGCTCGCATATGAAGAATGGCAACTTGTAGCGAGGTAACAGAGAGGGATCTGTACAACTATAATTATAATACCTGCATTTAATGTAGTGTCTTATCACGTTGAGATGTCTCAAAGCTCTTTGTAGAATTTTACTATGAAGTGCAATAACTGTATGAGCATGCAGCCAATTGCATGCCCCTTTGGGAAAAGCTAATTGTGAATTTATAGTAGAGTGGACAGAAAAGCATGAGGTATGAGAGAGATGAGGGAATCAGAGTGGTTGTACGTGAGAAGAATTATTGACCAATATTTGCTGATAAGGTGAAATTTTTAGTGATTAGCTGCTCCATGGGGGGGGGGGGGAGAAGGCATATTAGATCGAACTGCATAATTTTGAACTACAGCCAACATATTCATCTTCTGAAATATTAATTATTATAAAGTTCATTCCAATCATTATACATCAATCAGTATAATTAACAGATTCAGATTTTACAGAAATAACTTGCATTTTGATTTTGCCTTATCACGTTGCGATCTCAAAGCACTTTACAGTAATCACTTTCAAGTCTGGCGTGTTTTTTTAGACTAACTAGTCAGCCATTTGTGCCAGCAAGGTGCTACAATCGGCCAAAAATGAACAATTAATCTGGAGTTTGTTCTCAAGAACATTTTTCCAGAAACTCCCTTCTCTTTTTAAATAGTGTCACAGGGCTTAATTTACACCTGAACAGGCAGATGAGAATTTGCCAGATGGATTATAATGGTCATTTCCCATTGTAATGGTCTTTACAGCTCATTGATTCCTACATTCCCTCCCGCACATTGGGCATTTACTGTAGGTTGCCTCCACTTCCCTCACACACAATTATTAGTTAATCTTTGACTATTGTCATCTCTATAATCAATGAATCTCTCTCCTACCATTCTCTACATTTGTGAAAAAGTGAATAAAAAGTGATTTGCTATGTTATTGTGCACAGGAAGCCTATTTTGGCTGCTACCTTTGCATGCTCATACACAGTGCCCTGTTGGTAATACCTCCTTTGCTTCACTTCCAGGAGAGAAGCCCTATATCTGCCCCTATGAAGGATGCAACAAACGTTACTCCAATTCTAGTGACCGCTTCAAGCACACCCGAACACATTATGTAGACAAGCCGTACTACTGCAAAATGCCAGGGTGCCACAAGAGATACACTGACCCCAGTTCCCTTCGCAAGCACATCAAAGCACATGGACACTTTGTCTCCCCAGAGCAGCAGCAAATGCTGAAACTACGTGAGTCTGTCAAGCACCCAATTGCAGCAGAAGTGCCTTACTTAAATGGGACCCAGATCATCATCCCCAGTACGGCAGCCATCTTTGGCAATCATCCTCTCCAAGCACTAGGAACCTCGTTGCCGATCCCAATAAACCCTGCACCTCTGGACCTTAGCGCCTTGACATGTAGCACTGCTGGATCTACTGGGATTACAGCCATTCCCAGTTCACTTTTTTCATTCAATGGTACTCCAATAAACTTGGCTAAAACGTCTCTTTTGCCATCACCTTTCTCGGCAGGTAGCCTTGGACTTCCACTTGTGTCCCTGGTTGCAGGGTCTCACAGTCTTGTCGAGAAGTTCTCAGCAGCAAAAGGGAAAGGGTCATCAACAGGAGGAGCTAAAGCACGTGGAGGGAAGATCAAAGGTCAGTTCCCTTCAGGGAAGGAAATTCATGAGAGACTCGAAGCTCGACTGAGGTCAACAACAGAAGGTCTGTCAGTGTTGCCTGGAACCGTGATAGACTTGTCCAATGGCATGAACTCATTGCCACGTCCTGACTCTCTGCCACCAGGTTGGGTAGTTATTCCAACAGGGTCGGTGTTACTCAAGCCAGCTGTCGTGAACTGAAGTGAGTCAAGTCCAAGCTGCTGCAGTGTTCAGTGATAGCAGTAAGTGGGTGACCTGGGAGACCTGCCTATACTGAAGATAAACAAAAGGTCTTTACTAATCCTTTCCAGGGTGGAAGTCATTGGCCAGTTTCACTTTTAGCATTAAAAGAACAACCCGATAATCACCTATTATTGGCAGGATCCCAAGTTTTAGTATGAATTTCAAAATAACTTGGGAGAGGGTTCTCTTCCTGTTTCACCTGACGAAAGGCATCGTAAAGCCTGAAGATCTCAAAGTGCAGAGAAATCAAAAGACTCTCAATGGAAAAAGGGGTGGGGGGGGGGTGAAATTGAAACTTGAATTCCCCAGTCATACAATGTCACTCATTTTTAGATTGATTCTCAATGAACCCAGTGCCAGTCCAATTGTCTGAAGGCAATCAACTGCAGAATTCAGCACCATTAATTCCCACGTTCGATCGCCAATCTGTGCTGCATTTGCTGATCTCAGCTGGAGCAGCATTCGGAAGCCAAGGGAGAGGAAAAATAAATTAGTCAGTGTTCCTACTCCTGATCTGTTATTCAGTAATAGTCCATCTCCCCTTTGCTGGAAAGTGCACAAGAGCAACAACAGGAGTGAGTTCACTAATGATATTTTTCTCTTTCTCTCTCTTCCCTCTCTTTCCCACCCCCGGGCAGGCTTACACTGTCTGGGCAGATACAAGATAAATAGTTATTTGGATGTTTCTGAAACTGTACCCCATCCAAGAGACAGTATGTTCACGAAAGAGTGAGAGGAGAAAATCTAAGGAACTTTATAAATGTAATTGACATGATGGACAAAAGTGGAATCATATTGTTGACTTAAATTGTGCCACTCCTATTATTGTTCAGAGGCTGTCACGTAAAGAGCATTTTATATTGCAAACACAATCAGAGTTGTGTACTTACACTTTGCCCTACTGGTAAATCTAACCTGCCGCATTTGATAAAATGCGACATTTTAACGTCTTAATTGATAGATTTTCATAGAATTCAGTGGTCTCCTCAAAAGTATACATGACTGACCTGCTCAATGGTCGAATGTGCGCAATCTTTATCTTTGTACATAAATTTTATATATAGATACACACCTGGATAAGTGTGTACATTTATTTATAATTATCACCTATTTGTTCCAAGCATTTACTCACAGGGTTTCTGCACTGTTTGCAGTTAGGTCCCCTGGTTGCTTGGGCAACCTGTTTATCTCTGTCACTTGGTATGGCCCACTGGTACATTCGCCCCCTTCTCCAGGTAATGATAAGCACAGTGTGTATTTCCTCTTTCCCCCACTCATATACTACAGACTGAAGCCTCTGGTTCATTACCTTTCAGGGGAGAGAGATGGCATCTCCTTTAATGACATTGGCAGAGGGGCCAGACTTCCTGGCACCTCTGCAGTGGCCTGTGCCAGAGTTATTAATGACAAGTGGCTTGTGTGCGGTGCTCTCTTTGCTGTGATTTGATGTACACTTTGACCATGTGCTCAATTAACAGGATTTCCCACTATAAAACCCTCATATTACGTTAAGCTTAACACCGCTCAGAGTCGCATCAGACATATGTCTATAAAAATATATGTGCGCTTGGGTTAGAATATATAAAAGGATTACTCATTCCATTCCCCTGAGTGCAACAAACTGAAAAATTCCCGGAACTGCTTTTTGTAAAAGGCACCGTAGGTTCAGCGAAGGAGGGAGTGAGGGCTAAAAATCAGGGGAGTGGGAGGGTCTATAGATAGAGTTGCTGTGCATACATCTCCTGAATACAAAATGTTATCGAAAGGCTCTGTATACATTCCATAGGTACAGGAGTGTATGGATGTGCTATGTATACACTGCATTTTGCTGGACTATATTGATGTGCCATGTATATACTGCATGGATGCAGGAGTGTATTGAGAGCCTGTGTATACACCACATAGGTACAAGAATATATGGTGATATGTGTATAATCTGAATGAGTTTGGAAGTATATTGACGTGCTTGTATACATTGCTTAGGTACAAGAGTATATGGAAAGACTGCACATACATATAGGTACAGGAATACAGGAGAGGACATACAAGTATATTGAGGTACTGTGTATCTGAAAAATTCCAGAAACCCTGAGATGTGATAGGGGGAACCTGTCCACTGGTACCGTTCCCACCCATTTAAAAACGCCTGTCATACCTCCACACCTTAGGCGCTGACAGCATCACCATCCATGGATGCACACTCTAACTAAGCCAGTCCAGAACCTTTGCATCTTGTTTGTCCCTCAACTATCCTTTCTACCCCACATCCGTGCCATGACCCGTTCTGCCTTCCCTCACCTCCACAACATTACCGAGCTCCGCCCGTCTCACCCTGTAGGCCGCCGAAACCCTCATACACGCATTCATAACATCGAGGCTTAACTATGCAAACTCCTTGCGTGCCAGCCTCCCTAATCCTCGCTCCGCAGGCTGCAGATCATCCAGAACTCTGCGGCCCGTGTCCTTGCCCACACCAGGCTCCATGACCCTATCAGCCCCATCCTTGCCCGACTCCAATGGCTTTCCAATGCACAGAGGATACAGTTCAAGATCCCGGTTCTCACCTTCAAAGCCCTCCTACCGCTGTGACCCCCCCCAACCCCCTACCATCCTGCCCGCGCTCTCCACTCAGCGGGCTCTGGCCTGCTTCACGTTCCCGTCTTGCCCGTACCACCATTGACAGGTGAGCCTTCTGCCACTCTGGCCCCACCCTCTGGAACTCCATCCCGCAGTTGCTCTGCCTCACCCCTTCCCGTGCCTCCTTCAAGATCCATCTCAAGACCCTTCTCTTTGAGCGCGCTTTCGATCATCCTGCTTCCCCCCCCTGCCCTCCACCCTCCCCAATCCCAACCCCAGCTCAGGTCTGAAACACTGACTGTCCAGCGCCTTGGGACGTCCTCCCGATGTGAAAGGAGCTACACAAACATAATTTTGTTGTTGCTGTTGTGTAAAGATCACACAGGTACAGGAGTACATTATGCTGTATTGTATACACCAACATGGGATCAGTAGTATACTGTGAGGAATTGTGTAGAAAAGAGGGATCACTACATCATGACTACCCAATAGTGATGCTATAAAAGTGGGGCAGGCTCAGTGGGTGAATGGGATCGCAGCATTGTATGTGGAGCCCTATGGTTTAGAAGTTCCTCTGTTTTTTCATGGCTTAATTTATCATGGACAGGACATTGTTACACTTAGACATGAATCCCTGAGATGTGATAGGGGGAAATCAGCCAGGAGAGAACATAACAAGTGTAGCAGGGCTGATTGCTGTCTCAAAAAGTATCCTTGATTGAATTAATACAAAGCAGTCATCTTGCTGGGGTTGTGTTACAGCTATCAGTCAGTCACGTTCCTAATCAAGGCTGAAATCTGGGGCCTGCAGTCCCTGTCCTTTCCACATGAGTGAGCAATAGATCCAACTGAACAATTAAACCATACATCATGGTCTGCCATTCAAAGGAAATCACATATGTTCCTCGTCAAGTAGTTTAAAATAACATTTTTAGAAAATATTTTCATCACCCCCTTCTCTCTTGTAGGTACTAACTCATGCTGGGCCACGGTTTCACTGGGTGCCCACCAGTACTTTGCCTGGCTATTATGTGTGAACATGACAATGAGTGTTCTCCATCACCGCTCAAATATGTCCTTATTCAACATCTGTAAATGGACAGGTGATCTCTGGATAGTAAGTGGAGGCATAAACACTGGCTCATTTTTCCCTTTCTATCGGGGTGGTGGGGGGTGGAGAGGGATCTCAGCCCAATTGTTGCCCCAGATGCTGCGCAGGCTGAGATCGATTGACTCAGCACAAATTTGGGATTGACGCTGGTACGATTCTGGTTTCAGTTTGAAACATTGGAAGCCTTGTTGTTTTTGTTCTGTAGGTTAATAAATTGGTACACTTTGCTGCTTGGTAAAACATTTGGAAAATTGTTTTCATTGTGTAAATGTAAAGTTGATTTGTTGACCAGAAGTTTCAGGAATTCTCAATGGATGCAGTTCACAGCAGTCAGTGGCTGTCTAGAAAGGGGGAGGTTTTGCTTAAGCGATCTCTTTCTCTCTGCGTGTAAGAGCACGCCAGCATGGAGTGCCTGAGTACTGGTATTTAATTGCACAAAAGTGAGTGAGGAACAGGTGTGCATTCTTGATGAATAACTCACAATGAGATGTATGCTGCCTCGTGTCCCAAGGGCAGGACAGGGTGGTGAGGCTGCAGCTGGATTTACAATTTGTCTGTTCCTGCAAAGTACATGGCTCTGAAGTCAGTCAATGGAGAAATGTTTTAGTTTAGGTGGGACTGCAGGAAACACTAGAGAACAGCACAACAAATGCACCTCATTTGGTGCTTTAGTTCTGAGATGCCTAAGATAGGAGGGCCTTATGGAAAAGAGTGCTGACAGATGCAACAAATAGCCCTTTTTTTCAGTGCAAAATTATACCAATGCTCAATATAAGTGATAAAGACACACCTCTTCTAAATGTGCTGACTATTGCTGGCATAGTTTGTTCTTTTGTTAAACTGTATCCTTACGACTCTTGAGATCCTGAAGTATTAGCCAAGGACATGTCAAAGAGACGTAGCACCAATATACGTTGTGCTCTCGGACTGTCCTTAAAAGAACCAAACTAAACTTGGATATCTGAGCCACTCTAATTGATTGATTGTTTATACAAGTTGCCTCCAATTCAACATTGAAAGACCACGGATGGCTATGGTTTCTCAAACTGGCCAATCACCAATTTCAATCATATAACTGTGCAATGTTGCTTTATAGGGACATGCCAATATATACACTTTTCAGCATCTAGTCAATGAAATAACACAGCCAGTCAGATTATATAATGGACAAATTATCAAATAGAAGTAGCCAGTAGAAAAGGACTACAAGCTAACCTAAAAGAAAAAACTGCCAATGAAATTAAGACTCTGTTTTGTGGCAAATTACAATGCAAAGTATGTGCAGCTAAATGAATAACCAATTGCCAATGGGAAGACTACAATCAGTCCAAATACTGTAACTTTTGTGGGGAGCCTTGCTAATAATTTGGCACAAAGTAGCCAACGACAAAGAAACCAATGACAAAGAGTATTACTCAACACAATGGTAGTTCGAACACCAAAGCAAGCCATGTGTAGTACTCTGCTCACCTGTTAATTAGATAATGATATTTCTCTGTTTGAGATCCATGCGTGCGACAAAGCATACCAGCTACAGTGTGCTGCTTGCCAAACCTCGGTTTCGGTTCATAAGTAGTTTGTAAATTTTATTTTTGTGCGAGACAAGGAAACATTTATCTTTCTGCACACTGTGTTAGCTGCCATTGACCACACTTAGACCTGAGTTGATGTGTTTTTTTCTCTAGCATTAATAAGCAAAATGATTCAAGTGCTCCATGCCGCTATCCATGTGAAGGACGTTGTATAAATGCAAGTTGTTGTTGATTACAGATTAAGCTTTGTAAAAAGTCAGTTGTACAGTGTGTGAGTCGTTTTTGGACAAGGCCCGACTGGGTCTGTATCGGATTATTGCACATTCCAGAGTTTTCCTAGCAGTATTTTAACAGTTCCAAGTGCCTTTTTTATTCCAGAATATGTAGCTTTCATCTGGCTCCAGTGGAAGAGTCTAGCTGTTTAGCATTAGTTGTTAAATACAAAGCTGATGCCTAGTGTTGAATTTCTCTTAAGAGGAACACTACAGAATATGAAAAAAATAATAAAGTTTAAATTGTTAACTTACTCTTGTGTTCAAAGCCTTTCTGCCCATTAATAGCAAAAGCTGTTCAGCTGTTTTAAATTGTGTTTCCCCTTTATTATGTTTATCATTATTATACATTTTTAATTTGTTTTGTGCTCATCAAGGTGAGGGATGTTAATACTGGGTTGTGGAAACTCGTTCCCATTTAACACACCTCATGTCAGCATCAAGGATTCCAATGTACTATTGCCCTAATTTCAGAAATCACCCATTATGTTATACTGCTGTGACATTTAACACTCACATTGGTAACCCTGGGTGAAAAGTGTTTTGATATTTTGAATATAATGGTGACAATTTAAAAATATATATTTATGATTTATCTCCTTTTGCTGCATCAATGAGACATTGGCCTCTCCTGTTCTGAGGCTCCTCACGCAGAACCCCCTGAATACTGCTCAGCTTCACATACAAGAATGTCCAACTGGACTATGGGCTCAGTCCCAACGTGGGGCTTGAACCCACAACCTTCTGTTTCAGAGGCAAGAGTTCTAACAACCGAATCAAGATGACACCCACACAACATTCTAACTCACATGATGATCTTGCTTACCTCCGCCAAGATTGTCATAGCCAGGCTCTGTATTAGGCAGTTGGCCAATTGTGAATGACAAAAACTCCCTAATACAACAATATGCATTACATGTCACCTCAAGTTCAAACGTTAACTAAATGTTAACTCAAATATAACTAGATGTTCCTGCAGAACTCAACCAATGCAAATGGTCACAAAGTACTCGATGTGGTCTCCATCTAAGACCTTGTCCGTCTTTCACACCTTTAGTCCGTTTGACACAATCTTATCTTTATATTTACTGCTCTTAAACAATGCTTCATTTTCAATTGGAAATTCTACTTCTGCTTTATGTGAGGCAGTCTGTGCTTTCTTCTGACAAACATTTGTCTTTAAACTAGGCAATGAAAGAAAATGCTAATGCATTTAACTTCTCAGTTACCAATCTCTGTACCTTACTCTCCAAGAGAATAACTTTCTGGCACTTTTTTTGTTGTTAAGAAAAGTTAGACAACACTTTCAAATGTGAATAGAGTAAAAGTTTGCTACTACTTAAGTTAGTGATTAGTGTTCACTTGATGTGGAGATCTTTACCCCCAATAGCCTCAAACCAGTGAGGCAGAGGTAAGGTAACAGGTAGGCTTCATAGAAACTAGGAATTTCCTGAAAGAATTACACACTCAAGAGGTGAGACCCAAATATTCTTCATTATTTGGCACAAATAGAGTAAATTATATTTATAAAAACAAGTGTCATTTATAGATCACATTACATCAGAAATCGCTCTACAGCACATAATGAAAAACATCAGTGCCTGTTTAATACTTATGGAATACGAACTTAGTTCATTCCTTATCATAATTAACTCTGACGAATATTCGGATGTAAATCAAATGCAACAGTTTTAAACTCCAGACTAATTCAGAGCCAACCTCTCAAAGTCAGTTCAATTATTGCATCAAACCTCAAATCATTTCAATAGCAAAACTTCAGAGGTTTTCCAAATCGTCACTGTAATGACCAATGAGATAAACCAACCATCTAGTGGTAGAACAGAGCTACTAACCTCAACCATTAAATCAAGGACTGAAAGCCTCTTAATTTCTATGTTTAATTTTATACATTTATAATATAGTCCTACGGTGAGTGAACAGGTGTAATGTGTCATGTCTCAGCCTCTTTGCTTTGCTTTTGTTGCGATGCGTTTGTTTCTTCAATCTTCAGCTCCTCATCCAGTCTCTCCTTTGCACGCACAACCTGAAAAGGCAGCAAATGACTTTTTAAAACAAAATAAACTTCACTAATCTCAATCTTTACATGATTTACTGTGGTTCTTTGCTTGTGGGGCTGGAGAAAAAATGACCTCTCAAAAAGTTGTCGACAACTGATTAGTAGCATCCTCGCCTCAGAAGGTTGTAGGTTTAGGCTCCATGTCAGGACTTTGAGCTCATAATCGAGGATGCCAGTCATCACTGGGGCATCACTGCATTGTCAGTGGTACCATTGTTTGGATGAGATGTTAAACTGCATCTTATCGACTTGTTCTGGTGGCAGTTAGAGAACCTATGGCACTAATTTGAAAAGAGAAGGGACTTCCTTCCTGACCCACAACCCCCAAGATAAAATGGATCATTCACTTCATGGTTGTTTGTGGGACATTGCTGTGTACAAATTGGCTGTGGGTTTGCTTACATATAAATAGTCACTATACTTTTCAGTAAATGTCCTGTTAAGCACTTTCAGTACTTTGTCAATCTGATAAGTCATTACATCAAATGCAAAGCTAATTATTATTACTCCATAGGTTCATTGAGTCTGAGGTGGATTAAATCTGTAGAAAGTAATTTATTTGGAGTTATCTAATTATATCAACCTGTCTGCACCCTTTGCTAAGTAGGCTCTGGCCTCCTCCATGTTGCCTGCCCAGCTCGCTTCACTATTGGCGGCCGGGCCTTCAGCCTTTCTGCCCCCACCCTATGGAACTCGATCCCACATTCCCTTTATCTCGCTCCCTTCCTTACCTCCTTCAAAGCGCGTCTCAAAGCCCTCCTCTTTGACTAAGCCTTCGGCCATCCTCATCCCCCCCCACCCCCCACCCGATCCCAACCCCCACCCCGGGTCCAAATCCCTGACTGTCAAATTCTTCGGGATATCCTCCTAATGTGAAAGGCACTATACAAATGTAATTTTGCATTGTAGTATATGCTACTCAGAAATATCAGTGACAGGATTCAAGTTAGTCTCTAATGAAGAACTGCAGCTATAGATAGCCTCCCCCTCTTCTAAATGCGGTTCAAGCATCAAATCGTAAAATACAGTAAATGTGGTTTAATTACAGTCACAGCAGACAAGATGGATATTTTGGATTTAAAATTTTTACTATTAGCTAGAGAACCTGCTATAAAATTAAACAAGTTTGTCTGATTTTTCAGATTTAAAAGTTTTAAGACCTCATAGAATCATAGAATGATACAGCACAGAAGGAGGCCATTCGGTCCATCGTGTCTGTGCCGACTCTTTGAAAAGAGTTGGAAGAAAAGTTAAAGAATGCTAGAACTTGAGTTTGATATCAGAAGTAGTATACAATTCACTGCTTCCCTTACCTTTGACTGTAGATAAAATGATCCACCCACTGATTTGTCATTCACTTTGAATAAATGGTCGTAGTTCTGCATACAATGAGAAGAAAAAACATCTTTGGTTAGAATCAGGCAGAGGGAAATGGAACATGGAATCAGATTCTTTGTTCGAATGCCAGTGGATCATCTCAGCTCTTTGCCATTTTGAAGTTGACTACACTACAGTGTGGGCTCAAACCTGAGCCCTGCAACACAACTTGCATTCATATAGCAGTTTTCATGTAAATGTCTCTAAATGCTTTATAAAACATGAGAGGATGTTCAGAGCAGCAATGACAACAGAAGTATCGATTAAATAAAAGAGTGCCAAGTGTAGGTCTCTAACGGGCTACAACTACCTTTCTGGGTTTCAAACACTGATTTTCTCCTGATATCTTCTTGTTACTGACGGCTGGTACCCTACTCCTACCTTCTGAATCTCCTCTTGTTTCATCTGTGCGACATTTAAGATCTGCTGTGCTTCTTGCAATGTCATTCCGGAAATGCTGGAGGCTGCAGCGGACTGTCTGCCTGCTCGTCCACGGGCTTCAGCTGCAGCTTTACTTGCTACAGTGAAGTAGAAAATTTCAGGATACATAAATCATAACATACATAAGTCATTGTTTACAATCATCTCATTTATAACCAAACTGTGGTGCAAGCATTTGGGTCTTATCTCAACACATATTTCCCCCAGATTCCTCATTGTCATAAAGGATTAAAAAAAAGCTCATAGCCGAGTTACTCGAATGAATAGAATTACAGCAAATCACAAACATACGGGACAATATAGACATGGTGCTCTACACTCCCATTCGTGTAAAAGTAGTCAGATTTGTTTTTGCAAGAGTTGTTTGCACAAGCAGGATAGGTGCTATGAATGATGCCACAGGTCATCACAAGACTTGTAGTTCTAGCTCATTTCGATGCATCGTTTGCTTTAAAGCAACTTTCTTCAGCCACTAACATAATGTGGAGTGTAAAGGGTTATCAATGGCTGGACCTTCAGCCTCTATTCCCCTCCCTTTTAACTCTTCTCACTTCCTCCCTGAAGCCTTCCATCTCACCTGTTTTGACTCCTTTTTTCCTTTTATTATGACTGTGTATTTTGTAGATGAACGCAATTTGCACACATAGCTATGAAATGAATGTTTTTTTCTGGACAGGGATCACGAGAGGGAACCTGATTGAAAGACACTCCAATCTGCTTGGGTTACTGTGGTATCTTTCTCACTGAGCTATTTGGGCAAATGTCAAGTTTTTGAATTTCCCAAAATAACAGGCTTTTTAAATAAAAATTTGAAGGCACTGGCTATTAAATTTCTAAAGCTTTAGTGATTTCAAACAAAGTATACCAGGATGAATTACTTTTTCCGTCAGTCATCCCATTTAATACTCACCAGCATATTCTTGCCTCAGAGCCCGAGCAAATGCTCTTCCCACAACCTGGGCACCCACGACAATTATCTGAGCCAGGTATTTGGCCTAAAATTAGAAAATTGCAGACAATGAGATCACAATTCCTCCTAATAATAAAATAATAATATCTTTGCATTTGATATAGTGCCTTATAATATTAATAATAATCCTTGCATTTGATATAGCGCTTTTCATGTCTTCGAGACGCCTCAAAGCGCTTCACAGAATATACTGTAAAGTGTCGCGGCTGTATATTTTGGGAGCAAAATGCGACAGCCAATTGCGCACTGCAGTGTCCCACAAACAGTTGTGGATTGAGTCACCAAATTATTATTATTCCTTGGAAGGGATTATTACCCCCAGAAAATTAATATCACCAGCCTAAGTGAACAAGAGGAATAACCAGTATTAGGACATTATCAATAAATTTAATATATTGAAATACAGTGCCTATGATACTGAAACTTCTCAAAGTGCTTCACAGAAAATTGCTGTTAAGGGTACGGACTATTGAATCGCGGCAGCTAATTTATACACAGCAAAACTACACAGAGCCATGGGGTGAATGACCAATTTATCTGGAGAATTGTTGGCCAGGACACCAGGAGAAACTCCTTTCTCTTTTCAAAGAGCGCTGTGGGATCTTTAACCGACCGGTAGAGGTTGTTTAAATAATACCGCAATACCCCTCAGACCCTCAGCTGCAGAGCACAGGGCCCAATTTGTGAAGAGACTTTTTGAACATCAACTTAACATTACTGTACAACAACAACAACAATATGACACTTGCGTCGCGCCTTTCGCGTCGAGAGGATGTCTCTATTCTGGTGCGTTATTCTAACGAGTGACCGGGAACAGTAACACGTGGAATGGACAGTGATGATGATAATAATAATTGACAATAATAATAGACAATAATAATAATTATTATTAATATTAAGAATTATTATTATTAATGATAATTCAATCTCTCGGTGAGCAGCAGCTTCACTGCCCCCCCCCCCCCGAGTCACTGCCCCCCCAGTCACTGCCCCCCCGAGTCACTGCCCCCCCAGTCACTGCCCCCCCGAGTCACTGCCCCCCCCGAGTCACTGCCCCCCCCCCGAGTCACTGCCCCCCCCCCCCGAGTCACTGCCCCCCCCCCCGAGTCACTGCCCCCCCCCCCCCCGAGTCACTGCCCCCCCCCCCCCCCCGAGTCACTGCCCCCCCCGAGTCACTGCCCCCCCCCCCCCCCCCGAGTCACTGCCCCCCCCGAGTCACTGCCCCCCCCGAGTCACTGCCCCCCCGAGTCACTGCGAGTCACTGCCCCCCCCAGTCACTGCCCCCCCCCCGAGTCATTGCCACCCCCCACCCGAGTCACTGCCCCCCCGAGTCACTGCCCCCCCCCCCGAGTCACTGCCTCCCCCCGAGGCAGCTTTGTGGCCTCAGAGCAGCCCCCAACCCCCCCCCCCACACACCCCCACATGTCCTCCGAGCCTCACCATGTCACGCTCCGGGGACCTCTCGTCTCTCTCCCCGAACCGGTTTCCTTCCCTCCCTCTCTACCGGGCCCGGCCCCGGGCTCCCGGGCTCCTCCCTCCCCCTCTCTCTCCCCTTCTGGAAGCTTCTCGGTCGGGTACACTCCCGCGGGCTGACTGTGGAGCCAAAGTCACGGGGGGGTCAAAGGGGAAACGACGACGACGCCGCCGCCGCCAGACAGGAGTCGCCGCTTCTCTGGTCGCCATCGCACAGCGCCGCCCCGCGGCCGGAGGAGTTCACGACGCGCACGTCGTTTCAGCTTCGGTGGGTCGGTTGCAGTCGCCGCAGTGACCACCGATGGGCTGTGTGCTCTGTGCAGCGACCCCTGCTGGAGGCGACGGCAATACTCACCGCCCCGTCTTAATAATAATAATATTATTATTATTATTATGAATAATAATATTATTAGGAATAATAATCATGGCCTTCCAATAATATTAGTAATCCTTGCATTTTTGATACAGAGCCCGATCGGGTCGCGGAAAAACGTCTCAAAGCGCTTCACGGGACATCGGGTCAAGCGAATCGACCGTACATTCTGTGGGCGATTGGGGCGTTTCGCGCGCATCGATGCTCCGGCACATATTCCCGGCTTATTCTCAGAGGAGGCGGGGGCTCGGTTGGAAACCCTCTCACCTCTTGAACGATGCGGGTTTAGTCTAATGTCTATCTCGGGGACTCTGAGCTCGGGGTCTTGGCCGACTGTGAGCGCGACGGTGGTGGAAGCGCTGCCTTGTCGCTCGTCAAGAGAGTAACCGGCGATAAATCCAACGAGCGAGCCAGTTCAGGTGAACGTTAAAGAATCCCATCACATCATTCAACGCGTTGTTTCTCCCATTGCTTTCGCTAACACTTCCTCCAGCTACAATTGATCATTCATTTCCTGCTGGTTTCTGCATTTTCCGACAACTACATTGGATAGTAATTACTATGAAGCAGCTGAGAGATATTTCACGCTCGTAATGTGCTGTGATCCGACTCTAATTATGGAAAATCGGTCAGGACTGGCTGTGGACAACAGGTGGTTGTTGAATAGAAGTGATAGCTTTAACAGGTTTGCCTGCAGTGATAACACCTGATGGGACAATTTTTTTTAGTTAGCACTACAGCCAATATTTTGCGTGATGTTCAATTATCCTTGACATTTGTATGCATTATCCCCATTTCCATTGCTTAGCCTCACTTGTGCTCTGTGCTGCTGCTATTTCTGGTCGCAGTCAAACCCCAATACTATGTTCTCTTACTATGGATCAGTATTTACACTCACATCATGATCACTGTCCATTGCTTGTCTCAGTTCCTTGTTTTCAATCAACTCCTTTCCCCGCTTACTTTCTACTGCCCCCGACCTACTCAAATAATATTTAGTCACTCGGTAAAGACATTTCTGTTCAGATGAAGTCCATCCCCTTAGAACGTCTTCTCTTTGCCATTCTTTTAATTTATCTCAATGTATAACCTCCACAAGGATGCATAACCTCTTTGTATATGCACAACCTACGTGCACACATGCACATGTACCATTGGTCAGTTTTTACCTAACTTCACTGATACATACCTGCTATTTGGTGAAAGTGCATCAGTAAAAAAATGATTTCTACCAAATTTGATCTAAGATAAATTCTTGTGTCTCAGATGGTGTGTACTTTGGTTTCCAGGAATGCATGTGCACCACATTGTGAAACTAATTTTGCGCTTGCACAAGGATTCTAGCATTGTACTTTAAGCATTACAAGTTACCTCAAGCACATGCATGCAATTGGATTTTTTGCCGCAGTGGAAAGATAAATCTAATAATTGTCTACAGTGTAGAGACAATAAATAAGTCAGAATTTTTTTCTCCCTTTTGACATAAAAAGCTAAACAGGGTTTATATTTATGGATTAAAAAAAGGACTTTATTAGTCCTTACTATGCCTAGAATCTCACACACACACTTAATGCCCCATCACATGCCCATCAAATACAAAAGTGTTTACAACTCAATTAAAAAACAAAATTTATTTGGTCCATTGGAACCTGAGGTTTTCAAACTACATGATACATATATATATATATTCATATTTATATATAGATACTCTAAAATCAATAAAATTCTCCAAATGACATTCCAGTATTCCAGTTTTACAACATAACTCCTGGGATTATGAGGCTCAGATAGTCCATCCCTTATCCCGAAGTCAACATATAACATTGTGCTGGCTCAGTTTCTCACAGCTTCCAGAGAAAGGATGGAGGAGGGGCTGGGTGAGAGACAGGGACAAAGACAGAGAGAGCAATAGCAAATGTGGGATATGGGATACTGATAGTCACTGGCTGTGCCTCTAGGAGTCCTGTACTGTGTGTATAAGGATGGCATTGTTGCTAATCAGAAACCAATTATTTGCAATCATAGAAAATCATCACTCAAAAAAATTACACTCTATTTGAAAGAAATCCAGGATTTCTGTTCCACGAACATTTCACTCTGTTCGTACTATGGTCGATATAATGTTCGGATCTCCCAAATAAACAACAGAGAGTTGTAGGGAAGTGCGGACAGGGTTCGCTTGCTGGGCTGAAAATTGTGACATGAGGTTTGATCAGCCTCTTTCCACTCTCACAGAAAAAGTTAAAAAAAAGTTTAGATTAAGAATGTTCTCTGATTTTTTTTTCCATCTTGATTTTATCTCAAGTCTTTGCATCTCTTGACTAAGACCTTATCATCTCACTGTCGTTCTTGCTTTGCAAATTCAACGCTACTCATTCCTATCAAATGCGCTCATAATGTGACCTGGCACTTAAACTTCACTCAGATCTGACCCTAGAGACCTGAAGTTCTCCATATTCTTAGATTTAATACCATTGTCTTAAAATTTAAAAACATGTGGGATTTTGAGAAAGTCTTAAATTCAATCTTAATTTGAAGTGACTATTTGTAGTCCCAGAAAACTGCAGAAAATCACCTGCCAAATTACAACTGAATTTTGAGACTGTTTTCCAAAATTCAGCAAGATCTTAAACTTTAAACCAAAATTTTAAATTTTAAACCAAACTCCCTGAGCAACTTTGGGCCCCCGATCTCTACATCTTCACTAGATTACTGTGCTGGACGAGTGGCTTTAAAGCTCAATGCTGACAGCGGACACTTGCTGACAGAGGCAATTCTGGGAGGACTTTGCTGCAGTCGTTAAGTTTATTTCCTGGGACCCCACAAAAATCTCAACAGTCTTCTTTTAAAAGATAAAGCTGTTAATCTAAACCCTTCACATTCTGAGGGCCCCTAGAGTGCTATTCCCCCTGCTGGACATAATAATAATCCTTGCATTTGATATAGTGCTTTTCACGTCTTCTAGACGTCTCAAAGCGCTTCACAGCATATACTGTAAAGTGAATTGACTGTATATTTGTAGGCAAAACAATACAAATTCCTCCACCTGCATTGCACTACTTCGATGGAACAAATACGATTGCGTAACTTAAACTGCAACACAACAAAATCATATGTTTGGCGCACCAGCGAACCTCTGATTTTATTTTTGCTTTTGCTATTTGGCACAGAAACTTGGTGCTCACAATACTATGGCGAGATCAGCAAGGAAAAAGCAACCTGTCCAGCAGTGTACGTACCTCAGTCAGACCAGGCACGTACCGAGACAAGTAACTGGTTGGCGATAACTCAAATTAGACACTCCCCTTACTGAAACTTCTCAACACCATTATTGATTGATGAAAACCTACTGCAGTGCAGACATAATAGTTTTGTCTTTTGCATTTATGTCTTAAATGGTGGGAACAAATATTTGTTTGGAGGAAAGAGGACAGAAGACAGGGTTTAGATTTAGAGCCATTATGAGGTGGCATAATAAAAATAGTATTTTTTTTTTGCACTAGATCCACCCGTGTGCATGATGGCGCGCACACATGTGTGCACATGGCATTGTGAGGCACATTGGTGGTGAGGAGAAGAGGACTGTGTGGAGTCTCCAGATTAGTTCAGGTGAAGGGCGAGTGCGGGATGGGTTACTAAGTGGGATTTTCCAGGATCCCTCGGTGGGAAGCAGACTCTTGATCCATTCTCACCTGGTGAGTGAACAATGGCAGAAGAGGATGGCAATACACGGAGCCTGAGCCACATTAACAGCTGACCACCAGTGCTGTCACATCTCCTGGAGTCTATTTCCCCCAGGCTGTCACAGGCTCCTCCTTCCTCCCATCCCTCACCAGCTTCTCAGGGCGGGCTCTGTATTCTCACTCCTCTTGCGGACACTGATGAGAAAAAACCCAACCGGCTGAGGTATGGGAGCTGATCGTGGGGGAACGGAACAATGCTGGTTGGTTCCCCCTCTGACTATGTTCTTACGTATGGGATGGAAAAGTCCATCGCCTTTTTGCTTTAGATAAAGTGGCTGGGAGGTGTATACAGGAGCTGGGAGCTGCAATACAGGCCTATGGCTCTGTGAGGTGCATGTTGAACCGTCCTTCATTCTGCGGGTTTTGTCAGCAGCAGAGATTGTGCAGAAGATCCTCTTCTCACAAAGGCCGGGGGTTGTGCAGACCGGCAACATCAGGGGTGAGGGCCGGGCTGTGGGTTCCTTTGGTGGGCGACCATTCTCCCAGGGAGGCCTGTCCTGCTTTGCGATGTGCCAGGCGATGGGTGATCGAGAAGCCAGCATTGCCTTCCAACTGTGACAGGACCACCAGCACTTGCCTGTAATTAAGAAATAATTCTTACATTTCATGTCAGAAGGACATCTCAAAGCGCTTCACAGGATATAGTGAAGTGTTGTGACTATCTTGTAGGCAAATCGCAACAGCCAACTTGCACACAACGTCCCACGAACAGCCAAGAAGCGAATGACCAGTTTTATAAGGGGGATTGTTGGCCATTGGGATAAACACTTCTCTTTACAAATAGTGCTACGGGTTTTTTTTAATATCCACCTGAATAGGCAGATTGGACTTTGGTTTAGCTTCTCACCCGAAGGACCGTACCTCCAACAACGAGGTGCAAGGAGAAAGCGCATATAGTCAAGACACTAGAGAGATTAATAAACGAAAAAGTAGCGGCACACTCAGAGAGAGAGAGAAAGTGATGGGGAGAGAGAGGGAGGGGGAGAGACACAACGAGCGCACACTCAGAAAGAACTGGCACTCGGTATGCTGAGATGGAACAAGGGACCTGTGCAGTGATGTACAGCAGGTGGGACAGGACAGGTACCTATGCAATGGTGGGACGCTGTCAATGGTTTTCAAGCTGCTGCGAGTGGATACCACGTTGAAGCTGTCAGAGCAGTCACAGGACACATGCAGGAAGTACTTGGGGTGGCGATTCTCCACCACCACGATCAACCCCGCCCAGCCATGCGTCAAGTAGTAACAGGTCATGCCCTCACGGCCCTGCTCCAGGAAGAGGTAGAAATATGTAATTACTTTCCCGCAAGTATACTCGAGATTTCACAACGATCGCTGATTATACTCAGAAACAACCTGTAACATGCAGTGCGGCTGTCTCAACAAACACTTCCACATTGATGCTTAAGAAATACAGAAACGGACCGACTTAATATGAACCAGAAATGTGCATTTAAAAGAAAAATGGCAAATCTGTGCTTCTCCAATGGTTAGATATACATTAAAGCTCCCTCTTATCTCTCTCTCTCCCTCTCTCCACCCTCAATCCATCACTCCCAGTTCAGGTACAGATTAGATTCATATCTGGCTCCTGGTAGGAGTCAATAGATAAAAGAATTAAGCTGGGAGAAGGAGCACACAGAAAGAAAGAATCAGCTGTTTTTTTAACTGGGCTTTATCACATAGAAATACCTCAAAGTACTTTATTGCTGGAATCTCCTACTGTGTGAATGGGTACCACAGGAAGCAGCTCACCCTGTCCCCGAGCACAGGGCACAGATGGGAGAACAGGGAGAAAAGCAATTTGGAACTGACAGAAAATGTACTCTGATTGGAGTGAACTTTATTCGCATTTGTCAAAGTCTCAGGAACAATCATTCTTTAGAGACTAAATTCCCACTGCACTCCTGAACAGTAACCTCAAGGACACTGTGAGAGTACAGGAGCTGCTCCTACCTCGTGTCGCTCTCCTTTATCCTCAGTCAGCAGAATGATGGCATCGGCCAGTGTGGTGGGTTGTGAATCCATCTGTTCCACCATGACAGGCTTGGAGCTGTACACAGCCAGGATATGTCCTGGGAACTCGGGTATAGGGCGTCCACTGCTTGTGGGACTTGAGACACCTGAGACACCTAAGAGCAGAAAGACAGGAATAATACTGGAGTGAAACCACAATTGGGGACTTCTACAAAATACCTCTGCACAGAAAATAATGAACAGCAATAACACAGCACTGGACGCCTTCACTGAAACCTTTCACTTTAGTCCCCCGCTTCAAAATGGTTCTGGGAATGCTCAGAATATCAAGATCCTGATTGTGATCCAGTTTAGATCAAATACAAAAGGTATTTTTGAGAAAATCTTAAAGACCAGAAATTAGGCCACCCCCAAAAGTAGACAGGTTCTAATAATAAAATAATCCCTGTGTTTGATATATTTAATATAGTGTCTGATCACAGTCAAAATGTTCCAAAGCATTTAACAACGTAAAGTGTAGTGAATAATTGTAGGCAAATGCGGCAGGCAATTTGCACATAGCAATTTCCTACGAACAGCCATAAGGTGACATCTTATTCAATCATAGGGGAATGTAGCAGCCAAACTCAATCCATTCTCCCCAAATCTGCATAAGTATCTTCCATCTGGAGTCTATCTTTGGATAACAATCAAGAGCAGGAACCCTGCATTCACCCCCACTCCGACCTCCACAGGGGGAATGAAAATGACTTCCAAACACGAAAAATTGTAAAGACATGATGCAGTACTGGTTCAACGCCGGCAGAGAGCGCCCCAGCATTCAGTGCAACACCAAGTCTGTGTCAATACCAAGTGCTACACAAACACACTCCTCCACATATTAAAAACGACCACAAAGATTATTACAGAGAGCACAAATCCCCATCACTGTCTGGAAATGATCTCAGCATAATAATCTGGGTAGGTAGGGGAGAGACTCAGATCTCAAGCCTTTAACTTGAGAAGAGCAAATTGGGAGTATGTGGCCAGGATGTGGAGACTTCTCTTGTGGAGACTTGCAGCCAGAGGTTCCTTGCACTCAATGTGTTGGTTACAAACACATACAGGGTGGATTAGGCAAGCCTGGGCTGTGAATCTTTACCTGTTGCTGGTGACAGTGATGGGGAAGGCAATCCAGACATCGACATCTGCCAGTGGTTGAACGCACAGCACACCACAGCATACTCCCCAGGCTCCAGCATCACATCACAGCCTACAAACTTCTTCACCGCCCGCTTGCTATGTGCCATCAGCCGTCCCAGTGACAGCTTGTTCCCACTGGAGAAGGATGCCCGGAATACCATGATGCACAGATCCAGCAAGTGGCTGTCGGATGTGTCAGAGCGCCTGGAACACAGGGACCAGAGGATAAGCTACTACAGATGGTTCATCACAGCACTTAAACGCAAAATTCATTGTGGGTGTAGATTTACTCCATTGATGCAGCATTTTAGAGTGTCTAGAATTTGGTAAATTCCTAAATACAGCCTTAATTTTTATACCGTTTTTTCTATAAGTTCTGTAAATCTTACACAAGTTCAGAAAAGCCAGTTAAAACTGAATCGACAGTGAGGTGACATTTTTTTCCATTGGTAGAGGATGCTCACAGAGAATCAACATCACAAGTCAACTTACAGAAACTAGTCAATGCAGTTAAACAAAGCCAGAGTGGTAAATCAGGTACCCAGATACATCTCAGACCAACCAACAGGAACACTGCTCAGATGCCAATCACAGGTTCCATTCGATGAATCTCTCTCAGGGGATCAGCCTCCGAGTGGAGGTCTGGGGAGACCTTGAGAAGCACCCAGATACCTGCAGGATTTGCGGGTTACAAAGCAATTTGCCAAAAATTGTTGATCAGCTCATTGGTTCATTCAGAGTTATAGTTTAGTCTGGAGGAGGATTATTTCTTGCATCACAAAGCAACAGGAACTGGAGGATTCACCTGGTATTTTACAAATGAGCACTTGTTCATGCACACAGATTGAGTAGTTAGAGTACACACCATTTATTTCCACTCTGAGCCATGGACTGAAGCCAGTCCTGACAGCTTAACCAATCTGTTCTGATGAAAGAGCTGAATCACAACTCTCTATAAACCCAAGTCTGTTGAATGCTGTATCCATATCTGCACCCTGTGCTCCTCTGAAGATTGAAAGTTGCTAATCAGCTGGATGTTCACTTGGGTATTGCTGGAAGTGCACTGCTTAATAAAATTTTGCTTCTCCAAACTGAGCAGGTTATAACCACTGAAAATTATCTTTAGGAATAGTAACAAGACCAAATTGTACATTAGACTCTCCTCATTCTCGTCTAACAATTGGGCTGTCAGCCAGCCTCAGTCATAGACGATTGGCACCAAGTAGAAGAGAAGGATGAGAACTGATGCAGAATGTATTGTATGCCAATTAGAAATCAACATAAATCATCAAACCTGAGCTCCCACTACACATTGTGGGCAATGTCAATCACTACCAACATTGGGAAAGCTGAATCTGCAAAATATTGCACATCAGTCTTTGGTGGATTGCCAGATTTCCTACTGACGGCGTACATGTGGAATGGCAGCAGGGAAGATAAAACCTTGCACCTAGGACATCGGTTCCCAACTGCTTTGAAGCAATCAAGAGATATCCTGCTGAGAGCAGCTGATTTTCTTAGCCTGGGAGAGTCAGTAGCTGGTGACTGTGTAGGAGAGGGGAATTGTGCCAATTCTCCCAACTCTTTACTGATCTTGATTGTGATGGTGTGACGAGAGCTGAGCTAGACTGGGGAACAAGGGAACATACATCTTACCTGCTTCCCTCCTGGAATAGCTGGAATTCCAGTGCAGTGCGCTCCAGTGCGGTCAGTGCAGTCACAGTGATTGGCCCGCTGGCTTTATTGGGGAACATACCCTGGAGGCGCACCTCGTGCCAATCAGAGTTAATTTTACAAATGTCCACAGAATCAAAAAACCTGGGAAGTAAATAAAAGCAGAAAGGTTAGAACAGGGTGCACAGTAAACAAGGGAAGCAGAACAGTGGGCAAAGGCTGGAAGATATTTGGGTGCAGCTTCCAGTCTCTGCTGCCCATTATTTCTGTAGCTGTGATTGCGACAATAAATTTTCCAATGTTTAAGCGATGCATCACACCTCCATACGCCACTTAAACACCAATGAATGATGTGCAAAACTGCATGCAGCCTGCCACCGCTTTCCTCACCTGAACCCCGGAAGTGTGGCAGCATTGTTCACAAAGGTAAATCAGTGCCAAACTGTCAGTATTTAACTGTTCACAGTTCATTACAAGGAGCAGGCTGGGTGGACACATTTCAATTTTTTTTACACTTCGGAATGTCCTCTTGACGTGAAAGGCACTATACAAATGGAATTTGTTGTTGTCGTTGTCAACAGCCTGGTTTCTAATGCATCCTTACAACCTATGAATGGCAGCGGCAAATCATAGAAATTACAATAATTAGCCGTCGAGCCTATGCTGTTGCTAACCTTGGTATGATATACTCTAACCTTTGATATGATAGTGTGACAGCAGCTGGAATTCTGGGATGCATTTCCACTTTATTCTAAAGAGGTGAGCAGTTTTATACCCTGGAGCTGTGTCTGCTCAGGGAGTTGCATCAAACTAATTTCTCAACCAGCAAAGGACAGCTCTTTCCATCTGTCCAGGTTGGACTGAAGCCCAGATGCCAGAAATGAAAGCAAATAGTTCCAGCCCGCTGTGCTTCCCAGCTACCCTGGGAGCAGTCTGCTGGAGCTTACACCTGAACAGCAGCAGTTTCCATTATGTATAATCTCTTCCCTCTCTTCACCCAGTCAATTAAATCCTATTAAGCATATGCGGAGATTCGTGCATCTGTTTACCTATTAAGTGAAGTTATTGGCAAAGGCTGTGTGCACAGCACCCAGGGAGTATCCGAGACAGAGAGGAGCAGCACATTAGAATGGAAAAATGCAATCCAGGAATCCACGTGCCATCACAACAGCAGTAGCATGGTCCCAGTCTGTAAACAGTCACACAGAGGCTGTCTCTGCCTTTTGATTTGTGAGTCTCATCAACTCCATATCAGAGATCCAAATTGTTGAAGTTCTTTCCTCAGAACTTTAACCCCTAATGTATGTTAAACTACACTATACCCTCTAACATGGCTCCTGTCTTTTCTGTACTGCACTCCAAACTGACCTAACGTGCACCTTGTATAAATTTAACACCCTCACTTTTGTATTCGGGTACAGCACTGGGAGGAGCTGTATAACTGAGGAGTGATCAAAACCCTCAGTATTGAATTACTCACTGAAACATGAAAACTAATAATTTTAAAAAAATTAAGGTTCCTTAAACAGTGTACATTCGAGCCATTCCTGCCTTCTGCCACCTCTCCCTACACCCATCTCACTGCCCTCCAAGTATTTAGACATAAGGAGAAGAGATGGGGAAAATATCTGCTATAAAATGGCTCAACGGGGCAGAGAGCATTCTCCCGTTGCAATGTTAGCGGGAGTTGGCCAGAATCTGTAAATCAGTGCACAACAGAGTGAACAGCATTGATGCTCCTACTTGATGAAGTCGCTGTATTCCATCCAGAACACGCCCTCACTGCTCCCGTGTGCCATTAGCTCGTGCCGCAAATGTGGTGGCCAATGTGGCCAGTCGTCCGACCAGTTCCCATTCCATGAGAAGCGGCCCCATGGATTCCGCAGTCTTAGAAGCCTTCAAGTGGGAGAGAGAGAGAGCATCGTCAGTACTGGTCTTAAGAATGAGGGCGCAGACAGAAACAGGGCAAGGCCAGAGCAGCACTGGACATGTAATCATTTCATGATTTTGTATACAGAGATGTTGGTGACACTGAATCCTACCACTTCCAGGTCAAGTGATAGTCATGGCTTTAGTGCAGAGTAAAGTTCCCTTCACTCTGTTTGAACAACTTGCCTTTGCCACTGTTTAACCTCTGGAATGCCCTATCTCTGTCCCACTGTTTGTCTTTAAATCCTTTTTTAAAACCTTTGTCACTTCTTCCCTCACTCTGCATCTGACCCCAGTCACTGTGAAGCGCTCAGAGACGTCATCTGACATCCTATATAAATTGAAGTCCTCCCTCCATTCACACAGGGGTGCAATTGGCATTCACACTAACCCTCTGCTGACAATTTCTTAATGTAACTAGTGAAGAGGTGTGTTAACAGCAGTGGCTGTTGGATAATGCCAAAATTAATCTCTCTCCTCTCACCCTGTACTCCACCGCAGGGGTGGGTGCAGCATTTTTTCTAAACTCATCTCAGGATGGGGGGCCACACGAGCAGTGCCACATTTATTGCTCATTCCTAGTTGCCCTGAGAAGGTGTTAATGGGTCTTTCTACTTAAACCCTTGCAGTTCTTGTGCGGTGGTTTTGGGTACAAAGCTCCTGGATTTTGAACCATGTGATCAGGAACAGTCTGAGGCTAAGTTTCCGCTACTGTGGCTTTGTTGTTCCTTACCTGTAGCCTTGCACGTCCCGCACATCAAGTATGGAGTAGGCGTGACGTGGCCTCAGCCCCATGGTCTCGTACACAGTATCATCCACCTTCATATTTCCACCTCCACAGGAAGCACCCATCAGGAACCTGATGGACAGAGTCATACTTTATGCTATGCATATATCCCACACCTCTTCCGCACTCATCCAAACTGTAGCCCTCCATCAAGAGTCACTCCAGGTACAGCTCAGGCTCCTCATTTCCTGTAGCAATAACTCTACACGTCACCGAAACACCAGGATGCAGTGAAACCTCTCTTTCAGGGGCTGATTGCTCTGCTTGGTTCTGCCTTTCCAGTGTTTGCACTCTTAATTCTCTGCTTAATTTCTTAAGCTAACCAGTGAAGAGGTGGGGTAGCAGGATAACAGCAGGGGTAGCAGGATAACTTTCAAGTAAAATTTCCTCTCCCTGTGTTCTCAACTGCAAGCACTGAACACAGCAGTACCACTAGATTGTGCGTGGATGCACAGCTAGAGTCTGAGTGGTCAGGATCATATATTGTTGGTGGTAATTGGTCTGGCTCAGGAAGTTGTATTGCATATACCACCATTAATCGGCCGTTGGTGATTGGCGGACAGCACCAATATGGAGAAGCAGCACCATATATATATATATATATACACACACACACTCAATATATATAAATATGAATGAAGCGAAATGAGGAACAAGTTAACTACCACAGACACATTTAGAGCCACTGCAGTAGTTGCGCGCCAGGTCATGTATAAAGGACGGACAACTTGCTTAGACGCAGCCACAACGTGCTTACAAAGGAGGTATGTTAGATTGCAGGATGTGCAATGTAACACAGGGAAGTGCTGAATTGTGTGATAACAGGCTTACCCAGCTTCCTTAGAGCTCAGCATTTTGGCCCAAATGAGGTCAGTGTCGATGGGTTCCTCTCGCGGGTTTGTGGAGCTGACCTGCAGCATCAGACTTTCGCAGGGAGCACCAGTCAGTGTGGCCAGCCCTTCAATGGCCCGGCCGGCCTGCAGGGCAAAGTAGGAGCCGTGTAGCTTAGCCAAGGCTTTCTCGATCAGCGCAACCCACAGCTGCCTTCTCTGAGCCTATTTTGGAGCAATAGAACAGGATCAAACATATGGCCCGGGGCAGGACAGATAACAGCACACCATTGTTAAATAATACATTTGCCGTTACACCCAGGGACACATACACAATTAAAGGAGACCGCAGGCTTGTCCGGACTAAAATATATTCTGCTACCAGAGACTACACACTTTGACATGTTTATAAAGAATAGTACAGTGGTTCAAACACACAGTGCTGACAGTACAATATAATAATCCTTATATTTGATGTAGCGCCTTATCACGTCTTTGAAACGTCTCAAAGCGCTTCACAGAATATACTGTAAAGTGAATTGACTGTATATTCTGTGGGCGACGTGCAACGTTCCAGAAGACAGATAGACACTAAGCACTGATTTACTGCTAACTACACAATATTGTTAAAGGTTTCCAGTAAGAGTCATCTTAAATTTAAAAAATAATTCAATCTTTAAAAGGGTCCAGTTGTTGGACAAGGACAAGTGGCATCATGTTCCATCATGTGGAAGAGAACCTGTCAGGGGTCAGGCTAGCTAATTTGAAAGAACATTGCGATCACTTCTAATTGCTCTGTGAAATAAAACTGCAAAGTATTTCTTTTCCCTGATAATCTTAGTCTGATAAATGACTGCCAGGCAACAGCCCCTCAGGAGAGTTACCATATTGCCGGCAGCACAGGCATCTTAGCCTTCTTAGTAAAAGCTGAGAGGGGACGGTAATACAATAAATTAATCTTGTTTCAAGGTCTCTATTAGTGAAGGTTCAAGACATTTTCAGGCCTGGTACCTCAAGGAATTTCAACTCACCCACAGGATCAATACAATAAAATGACCAGCTTCACAGCACTGAGGCACACTAACCGCAAGGTTATGCGTTTCAATCTCTAGTCTCCAGAGTTAGCTGATCTCAGCCTTGGCAACAGTTAGTGCTATAATTGGCCTCAGTTCCCTGCCCCCCACCCTGGGTTGGAGTGGAAAATCATCGAGAGTAGCCACTCCTGGTCTCTATTTAATGGTCTCCCCTGCTGGAAAATGCAAGTGTGGATCAGAATGGAGGCTGTTGCTTACACAGACAAAAGCCAAACCATGGGTTCATTGTATTCTCGCAGGCAATCCCTAATTATCCGATTCCAACCGTAGATATGAATCGCTACTCAAATGGGTGTGAGAAATATAATTTATTCTACATTATGAAGCTAATTACAGGAGCAAAATACTCAATTCAAAACCCAATTATACACTCTCTGGAAACTAACCAAAAGGAAACACTGAGAAGCAGTGCTGAAAAAATTAACAGTGTGACATATGCAATACATTTATTGGTAGGAGCTCAATCAGGTGCTGCCTCTGATTCTACAATTAACTCCAGGGAGGCTCACCTGCACTGCTTCTTAAGGAAGATTGACAACAACAACAACAAGATTACATTTGTATAGCACCTTTCAGTTCGGGAGGACGTCCCAAGGCACTGGACAGTGTACAGCATTTCATTTCATCCAGGATATCCACCCTACCACCTTCATCCAACAGCATCAAGCAATTTCTTACATGGGTCCAGTGCCCTGGCCTTAAACACCCTTTCTTGTAATTCATTCCAGGTGTTGATTATCTTTGGCTTAAAGAAATACTTTGCGGTGTCTGTCTTGAAATTGCCCTCAACGTTCCCAGACATGTTCCTGCATGCCATGCTGCTTTGGTTCATCCGAAAATATTGTTCTGAGCTTACTTTCTCTATCCTATTTAGCATCTTATTTACTTACATGCTAAATCTTCACAGGCATTGCTGCCAAATGTAGTGTCATATTTTTGCAGCCAAACATAAATATTTGCATTTACACACAGCAAGGTCTGATAAACAGCCATCGGGTGATTGACCAATTAATCTGGAGAACTGTTGACCAGACACCGGGAGAGATTTTCTTCTCGTTTTAATTAGTGTCATGGAATCTTAACAGCTACCTACAGACACCGATAGGAGTCTGATTTAACGGCTCATCTGGAGGACAGCACTTCCAACGGATGAGTCAAGATAACTGTTCTTCAGGTGTGGCCTAATTGGGCCACTGTACAGCTGAAGCATGGAGGCCTCTTACCTGGGAGAAGAGCAAGTAGCCATATTCATCACAGGGCAACATGTCATCCACGAGTACAGTTATCCAGGTCCCATCTTTGCACAACCGAACTTGGTAAGCTCCCTCATGGCAGATGGTGCGTGTGATCATTACCCTCTCCACCAGCTCAGGGCGCTCTGCCAGCACAGCAAGTGCACTCAGAAACCTACAATCACAACAAAGAAATGCTGGAAATACACTGCAAGCTGATCAATCAGCACCCGGTAACTGACCCTTAATCACAAAGTTTTCAGTTAACAATCTTTGTGTTCTTATAGTGCCTTATTACAGCAAAACATCTCAAAGGCACCAAGTAATTATTGTTCCGTGTAGTTATTTGCTCTCAGCAGGTCCCATTAATTCATGACAGAATCATTTATTTGTTGGCTTGTTGACCAGGACACCTAGAGGAACATCCTTGTCTTTTTCAATAGTGTTGTGGGGTTTGACCTGATGAAACAGGCAGTTGGATGTCAGTTTAACGTCATCCAAAAGGCAGGACTGTAGCAGACCCCCCAGTACTGTTCTGCTAGCACTTGAGACTGAGGCAAGACTGCCACCAACTGAGGCCAGCTGACGAGAACTAATTCCCATATCGGGCTGCACAGGGCACTCCTTAATTTACTGTCTAATGTTCACTGTAACAGCACTGGGAAACCTTGTAACAGAACTTTATCCATGGTGTGAGATCAAAATCCAGGACGGAAGAACACAGATATCTGTTCGGAGAGTGCTCATTGCGAAAACTCAAAAGGCTGCAAATAAGATTGAAGGACATGACTGCAGCAAGCAGCTCAGTAAGAATAATATAAGCAACTTGCTCCAAGGATACAGAGTGGAAAGGCTCCAGAACAGAAGCTCTGTTACCCAGAGTTAATCTACGAACCAGAGAGCAGCGTAGACTTACCAGCAGTTGCCGAGCAATCCCTGAGAGATGTCTGACGGTCGTGGGGTCCTGAACACAGACCATTTCACACCACGATCTTTGAAGGTGTTGCAGCTGATCTCGTGGGGTCTCAGCCACTGCTTGACTCTCTGCTGTACACTGTCGCCCTCCGGGAACCCCACAGACTGGGGGCCTGGGGGGAAGCTGTCATCCACAAAGTTCACGTTGTTCTAAAAAACAGAGATGGTAAATTAACAGAATAAAAGAGGGAGGCATGTTGCCCTGTGACTAGTATGGCTACCTGCTCTTCTTCACAGTCTTTGTGGTCCAGTTGTAAAATGCTCTGGTCAACTACTCCAGACACCTTGCCTCTACCCACCTCCACTCTTAATCTTTCCACTATCTACTCTGTCAGGATTTAAACTCATACTCAATTGGTATTTTACTAATATATTTGATTTTATCAATTCCCTCCTACATTACAAAATTCTTTATTTGAAACTGTAGAAAGTCAGTTTTCCAAAGGGATAGAGAGCAAGAGAGCGAAGAGAGGGAGGCAAGAGAGGGAAGAGGGGAAGCGAGTAGGCGAGAGAGGGGTTTGGCAGGGCAAGAGCCGAGAGGGAGAAGGCGCGAGGGGGGGTTGGCAAGGGGAGGGAGTGGAGGGAGGGAGAGATGACAAGGGGGCAACAGAGAGGTGTTGGGAGAGTAAGGGAAGTACTTTATCTCTTTAGGAAAGTCCTGCAGTTACACTCAGTTGGCTCCCTGAACAAACTGTCCACCCCTCCCAGCACCAACACGATGAGCTCAGTCTGCTCGTGGCGAGACTTCAGTTAGATCAGAAGGTTCGGTTCCATTCCAGCAAGACATGCTGCGGTCTCGATTACAAGTTGCTGAAATAGCCTGTGATCCAAAAACTGGGCTGCTCTTTTTGAAGTTAGCAGCAAACCGAGCCAAATGGATCATTTCAAATGAATAGCTCTGAGCCCAAGTCTTTGATGAAGTTTGCAGTGTCAAAAAGAAACATCAAAAATGAGCACAGAAAGCTGGCGTTGATCCCACAATAAGAAATTTGTTCAGTTATGAGATCTCACTGTCAAAATATGTGCAAGCTTAACACGGCCCCAATGAACCTCTAGTTTTGCAGTCAATGCCCATGGGTCTTTGGTATCTCAGGCAGCACGTACTGCATGCACTCTGTCCACTGAGGTTTGATATCTGGAAAATAGGGAGGGAGGCTTTTTTGGCTGAGACTTGAAACAGGCTATACAGAGACTCAAAAGCAGCTTTCAACTTTCATGAATTCTCTTGAAAAGGAATTAGAAAAATGCTTGAAAAATTAAAAGGTTACCAGGGATTAGATCAGGTGGGAAATGAACCATTTCTCTGCTGTAACAAGGATTCCCTCCTTAGGGGGTAGGTGAGCAGGGTCCCCTTGGAGCTGGGCTGGCTCCAAGCTGATGGAGTCCTGTAGCTCAGTGGTTAGAGCACTCGCTTTGCAAGCGAGAGACCTGAGTTCAATTCCAGGCAGAGGGCGAAACCTTGAGCAAGTTTCCTTACTCCACACACCTAATAATAATCCCTCCAAAACAAAAAAAAATAATAAATTGGTCATTTTCAATCTACGACTGTTTGTGGGACATTGCTGTGCGCAATTGGCTGCCGCGTTCGCCCACAAATATACAGTCAATTCACTTTACAGTGTGTTCTGTGAAGCGCTTTGGGACGTCCTCCCGACGTGAAAAGCGCTATATCAAATGCAAGGATTATTATGTGCTTGACAACAAAATGTCAACATTCAAGTCCACCTTCTATGGCAATCTCAGTAGCCCACTTCCTGATCCAGGTAAGTGTGCAGACGTCCAGGGCACTGCTGATGATACTATACACGCCTAGTATCATCAGCAGTGCCCTGTCGTCTGCAGACGTACCTGGCTCAGAAATTGGGCTCAGAGCTATTAATTTCCCATTCAACTCGTATTAACACTGCAAACCAAACACCAGCCAGTAGGGGGGCCTTGCAGGGTACTCAATGGCAAGCAATGCGATTTAATCTGTTTAAACTCCTATAGCACCTCAACACACATTCTGGACTGTAGCTAACTTGCACTGAATACTTTCTGAATTTAGGTAAACAGGGTGTCCAGACAGACAGAGAGAGGGAGGGAGGGGGAGAAGGAGAGGAGAGAAGAGAAAGAAAAGAGAGGGGGGGGGGGGGGAGGAGAGACAAGGTTAGCACACAATAGCATTTTCATTCAAACAGCAATTCCCTTTGAACCTGTGAACTGCCTACAATTAGCAGAGATGCATTGTTTAAAAAAAAAGTCCTAGGTGTGGGACCCATGCACACGTGTGTGAAATGGTTTAGGTATGAAGTCAGCTTGAAATGAAGAAGCAATTAATCCAATGCAAAATGCGAATGCTGAATATTGAGGAGACTCCAGTCCCATCAGATTGTGAAGACTGGCACCTATTGAAAAGGATAAAATATAGGAAGAAGGTAAATAAATTGCAACTATGGATTTGTCAACCAATGTTCAACTGGCTCAGGTGCCAGTTAGCATTTAGTTATTGAAGGTTAGTGATCTCAACTCTGTCAGTCTCAGACCCTTTTCTCCAATCTGAGACTGTAACAAATTCCAGTAATTTAGGATCCAGTTGTTGGTTCTGAAGGAGATATTAACAACGCATTTCTAGATCATTGGAGACACATTTACAGGATGTAACTGTGTGCATGCAGGCCTTAAAAATGGAAAAGTTCAAAAAACTCTTTTGATTCTAACAATTAGGGCTGAGTGTAGTTGTGAAATCCCTCTCTCTACCTCCTAATGTATCTTCCCATTATAACAAATTGCACTTTTATAGCAGCTTCAATAATGAATGAACATTTTAATGCATTTAAACAATATGGGAGAGAGTACAGAGCATCAAGATGACAACATTAAAGTTATCAATCAAAAACATGGTCAAAAAGAGGTTTGTACGAGGAGGTGATATTGAGCCAGAGGTTTTCAGAGAAAGCGCCATTAAGCAGAGGCATAGTGGCTGAGGGAGTGAGAAACAAGTGTGTCTGTAGTGGGACACTACTGTGCGCAATCGGGTGCTGCATTTTGCCCACAAAATATATAGCCAATTAACTTTACAGTATATTCTGTGAAGCACTTTGAGACGTCTCAAAGACGTGATAAGGGGCTATATCAAATGCAAGGATTGTTATTAGGATCAAGTCAACATGCTAAATCGAAGGAACAGAGAATTTGGGCAAGCGAATAGGGTTGGAGGGGGAAATTGCATATTGGGGGGCCGCGGGGGGGTGAGGAAAGAAGATATAAAGAAGGGATTCGAAGGTCACAAGAATTTTAAAGTCGATCACTGTCAAAGTCATGATGCAGTGGGAGAACGTTCCAGCCTGAGGTTGGGAACAGTAGCAGAGGGGGGGAGAAAATCTAAATGGAATAAGCTAGAAGGAATTGTATTGTGCAACCCTGATTAAAGAGAAATAACTCATTTAGTTCTCAAATGTAATACTTGGGAACATGTGGAGACTTGAGGTGTGGGGTTGGGTGAATAAAGGAAGTTCAAAGCTTTCTAAACCTTTCAGTGGTCTGCCTCTCATCGCAGCTACATGCAGATAAGAGTCACTTCTTCACTCAAAGCAATCCTCGCTGAATCCTTCCCCCCATCCCCCATTTACTGTAATTGGCAATACCGAGATTTCATGTCACAATTATGCCCGCAGTGATTATGCAGCTCACCGAAATAAAACGAGCGCAGCTGGAATTAGGTCAGTGTAATTCAAACTACATCTTAGCTGTCACCAGTACAGACCTGACTTTGCTTCATCTAAAGTAGTTTCAAATGCTTGAACAGAACATAAAAGCTCAATTTATAAACCAGGCTCCTTATAGGTTTGCGTGACTTATCCTGACTTAGGCAGTGCACAGGGCAGTGGTGTAGTGGTGGACTGCGTCCGTTACTAATGGAATTTTGTTTACTCCAGAACTGACAAATTACCTCTGATAAATTAGTTGAAAATGTCAACAACGCATTCCCACTTTGCATTTCAGAATTCTGAGTACTGTACTGGCATTATGCTTTTTTAAAAAAAGATTTCATACGCTGAGTGGAGTGCATTGGAAGACCATCACCCTGACTCTCTTTTGAACACAAAACAATCTGTCTCCCTCATCTGCTGCCCTCCACCCCACTCCAGTCTCTCTCTCTCCCCCTTATTTCTGGTCCTGTCTGCTGGTTCTTTCAAACAGAGGTGCTATCCTTCAGGTGAGACAATCTTGTCTGATTGTTCAGGCAGATGTTAAAGATCCCATGGAACTATTTCAGAGAAAGGAGGACTGCACTGCAGGATTGAAGCTGATGTGAATGGCGTTAGACAGGTGTGATAATGAAGAGAGTGTAGATGTGTCTCGGGAGCTGAGGTGTGTGAGCAGTGATGGGAGAATCTATGATTTGACCATGTATCAGGCAGGTCAATCAGTGCACATTTAGGAACTTAATCACTAGATTAGGTGAGATAGGATTGTTCAATACTTTCTCATCGATAATTAGGCATTAGATTAATTCTGAAAACAACTCAATAAACCGTGTTAGATTTGACTACTAAATGACTGTTGGTGATGTACATCAACATCCACTGAACCTCATTGTCTAGGACCAGCCACTGAATTCTGCATGGTTGTAATTTTTAAACACCCGTTATCACCTTCAGTTTGTGTCAGAGTGTGTGACCTCAGGAACTTCCCCTTTAGTGTTACGTAAAACACACATGTGATAGACCAATTAGAAGAATCCAAATGTAGGTTCAATGCATACACCTGTCCAAGTCATAGTAGTAAAAAAAACAAGGAACATGGTAACATCAAAGGCAATGTTGAACTTGGTAACTAAACACTCCCTCTCCTGCAAAACACACAGACACTTGTCATTCTATATATAATAAAAACTACATAATCCTCTTAGATTCAAATCTGTTACTCACTCAATGTGAGTATTGTGTTATTTTGCACATTAAACCACCTGAACCCTTCAATTAGATTCCAGGCTGCATCTCACTCCCATTTACCAGGTATAAAGCTGTGGTTATAAGGAGAAATGCTGTAAATGGGGGTCATGCATGGTTCTGTCAGCGTCAACTGAGACCGTGTTTTTAGCTTCCTCTCAGATGGTGAGTGACCAGCTCTGCATTTCCAGCATTGCTTTTTGAAAAAGAACATCT